TGGTGATGGGGGGATCATTGGGGTGATGGGGGGTCACACACATTGGGGTGATGATTTGGGGGGGGTCTCACCTATTGGGGTGATGATTTGGGGGGGTCTCACCCATGTGGGGTGATGATTTGGGGGGGGTCTCACCCATTGGGGTGATGATTTGGGGGGGTCTCACCCATTGGGGTGATGATGGGGGGGGTTCTCACCCATTGGGGTGATGATGGGGGGTCTCACCCATTGGAGTGATGATTTGGGGGGGTTCTCACCCATTGGGGTGATGATGGGGGGGTCTCACCCATTGGAGTGATGATTTGGGGGGGGGTCTCACCCATTGGGGTGCCCCCCCCCATGCAGCAGGGGCAGGGCACGAAGGAGGTGACAGGATGGTTCGAAGTGACGGTGGGGGGGCGCCTGGTGCACTCTAAGAAGGTGGGTGCCCCCCCCCCCCCCCGAACCTTGGGGACCCCCCCCCCCATGGTGGGACCCCCCCCTTTCCCTCCCATATCCCCCCTTTTCCCATTCATTTCCTGCTCTTCCCACCCCTTCCTTTCCATTCCCCCCCCTTTCCTTCCATTCCCACTCTTTTCCTGCCATATTCCCCCCCTTTCCTACCATTTCCCCCCTTTTCCTTCCCTTTTCCCACCCATTCCATCACTTCCCACCCTTTTCCTGCGATATCACTCGTCTCCCTGCATATTCCTCCCTTCGTTCCATTCCCATTTCTTTCCCTTTCTTTCCCCATTCTCACCTATTCTCCTCTTCCCATTTCCCCCCTTTTGCCTCCATTTCCCCCTTTTCCCTCCATCTCCACCCATTCCCACTTTTTCCCTTCCGATTCCCATTCCCCCCTTTTCCCTTCCATTTTCCCACCTTTTCCCTTCCATTTCCCCCCTTTCCCTTCTGATTTCCCCCATTCCCACCTTTTCCCTTCCATTTTCCCACCTTTTCCCTTCCATTTCCCCCTTTCCCTTCTGATTTCCCCCATTCCTCACCTTTTCCCTTCCATTTTCCTACCTTTTCCCTTCCATTCCCCCTCTTCCCACCCTTTCCTTCCATTTCCCCCTATTCCCACCTTTTCCCTTCCATTTTCCCACCCTTTCCCTTCCGTTTTCCCCCATTCTCCCCTTTTCCCATTTTTTCCCCTTCCATTCCCCCTTTTTCCCACCCTTTCCCTTCCCATTTTCCCCCATTCCCTGCTTTTTCCCTTCCATTTTCCCCCTTTTCCCTTGCATTCCCCCTTATTCCCATTTTTTCCCTTCCCTTTCTCCCATTCCCACCTTTCCCCTTCCATTTCCCCCAATTCCCACCTATTCCTTTCCATTCCCCATTTCCCCTTTTCCCTTCCATTTTCCCCCCTTTCCCTTCTGATTTCCAACATTCCCACTTTTTCCCTTCCATTCCCCCTCTTCCCACCCTCCTGCTATTTCCCCATCCCTTTCCCTTCTATTTCCCCCCATTCCCCCCTTTTCCCTTCCATTTTCCCACTCTTTCCCTTCCATTCCCCCTCTTCCCACCCTTTCTTTCCCTTCTATTTCCCCCTATTCCCCCTTTTCCCTTCCATTTTCCCTCCTTTCCCTTCCATTCCCCCTCTTCCCCCCTTTTCCCTTCCATTTCCCCCATTCCCACCTTTTCCCTTCCATTTTCCCACCTTTTCCTCCCATTTCCCCCCCTTTTCCTTCTGATTTCACCCTCTTCCCACCCTTTCCCTTCCATTTTCCCCCATTCCCCCCTTTTCCCTTCCATTTTCCCACCTTTTCCCTTCCATTTCCCCCCTTTCCCTTCTGATTTCATCCTTTCCCACCTTTTCCCTTCCATTACCCCATTTTCCCCCCTTTCCCTTCCACTCCCCCTTATTCCCACCCTTTCCCTTCTATTTCCCCCCATTCCCACCTTTTCCCTTCCATTTTCCCCCCTTTCCCTTCCATTCCCCCTTATTCCCACCCTTTCCCTTCTATTTCCCCCCATTCCCACCTTTTCCCTTCCATTTTCCCACCTTTTCCCTTCCATTCCCCCTTATTCCCACCCTTTCCCTTCTATTTCCCCCCATTCCCACCTTTTCCCTTCCATTTTCCACCTTTTCCCTTCCATTCCCCCATTCCCCCCCTTTTCCTTCCATTTCCCCCCTTTTCCCTTCTATTTTCCCCCCTTTTCCCTTCCATTTTCCCCCCTTTTCCCTTCCATTTCCCCCCCTTTTCCCTTCTATTTTCCCCCCTTTTCCCTTCCATTCCCCCTTATTCCCATTTCCCCCTCCCATTCCCCCCCCATATCCCAATCCCATTCCCCCCTTCAGGCCGGCGCCGGCTTCGTGGACTCGGAGGCCAAGCTCCAGCGCATCCTCAACGCCATCAGCGCCCTCCTGCCCCCCATGTAACCCCCATCCCATCCCCATTCCCAACCCCATTCCCAACCCCACAGCGCTCCATGACGGGCACAGCCAAAAGCAATGGGCTGAACCCCGATGCACGCGCCATGGGATGCATCCCTCATCCTTCATCCCCCTTCCTTTATCCCGCTTTCCGCTGCCCCTGCAGAACACCGGGATCCATCCACCGGGATTTAATTAAGGCTTTTTTTTTTTTGGTGGTTGGTTTTTTTACCCCATCCCTCCCCCATGGAATTCCCATTCTTGGAATAAACGCATGGAAAACTGACCGGGAATGGGTTTCAGGTGCTGGAGACCGTGCTGAGCAAAGGGATTAAACTGGAACTGGAGGAGTTTAAACTGGTACTGGGGGGATTAAACTGGAACTGGAGGGATTAAACTGGTACCGGGGGGATTAAACTGGAACTGGAGGGATTAAACTGGAACTGGAGGGATTAAACTGGAACTGGGAGGATTAAGATGGTACCAGGGGGATTAAACTGGAACTGGAGGGATTAAACTGGAACTGGAGGGATTAAACACGATACTGGAGGCATTAAACCCGCTACCGGATGGATTAAACTGGTACTGGAGGCATTAAACCCGGTACCAGAGAGATTAAACCGGTACCGGAGCCATTAAACCCGCTACCAGAGGCATTAAACCCGGTACCAGACGCATTAAATCCATACTGGACGCATTAAACCCGGTACCGGAGGGTTTAAACCGGTACAGGAGCCATTAAACCCGATACTGGAGGCGTTAAACCGGTACCGGAGGGATTAAACTGGAGCGAGAGATTAAACCGGTACCGGAAGCATTAAACCCAGTACCGGAGGGATTAAACCCGGTACCAGACGCATTAAACCCAGTACCGGAGGGTTTAAACTGGTACTGGAAGGATTAAACTGGTACCGGAGCCATTAAACCCGATACCAGAGGCATTAAACCCTGTATTGGGAGCATTAAGCCCGGTACCGGAGGGATTAAACCGGTACCGGCCGCATTAAACCCGGTACCGGCGCCCTGAACGGCTCCGTCCCCGTTACCGGCCCCGCTCCAAGATGGCGCCCGTCCCTCCCCTCCCTCAGCGGCCGCGGTGCATGACGGGTAACGAGCGGCCGCCATCTTGTGGCGGGAAAGGAGCGGGAGCACCGGCAGCACCTTCTCCCCCCCCTCCCTCCCCCCCCCTTTTTCTTTTGCTTTCCCCGCCCCCAACACCGGCACCGGCACCGGCACCATCCGGTAACGGCGGCTCCGGGATGGGGGTTCGGGCGGTGGAGACGCTTCCCTTTTAATCCCGCCTTCCGCACGGAGCCGGGCTCTGATTGTCCCCGAGGCCGGCAGCTGATTGGCTGCGCTCGACGTCAGTCCACCGCGGCGCGCACAGCTATTGGTCAAAGGGGCGCGGAGGCTGCTGGGAGTTGTAGTCCGAGAGGCGCTGAAGGGGGGGGGAAGCGGCGGGGCCTACTCCGTCGTGAGGCCCCGCGGCCCCGTTCCCCTTCGGGGCCGACCCCGGTTCATTCCCCCCCCGCCGCCACCTCCACCACCACCACCCAGGCAGGCTTCTGAGCTCCCGTTATGGCTCGTACGAAGCAGACAGCGCGGAAATCCACCGGTGGCAAGGCGCCGAGGAAGCAGTTGGCCACCAAAGCGGCCCGGAAGAGCGCTCCGTCCACGGGAGGGGTGAAGAAGCCGCATCGTTACCGGTAACGGAGCGAGGGCCTCGGGGGTAAACCTCGGGGTTCGCGTTTACCCGCTGTAACCGCCTCTTCTCCTGCCCTCCGTAGCCCCGGCACGGTGGCGCTGAGGGAGATCCGGCGGTACCAGAAGTCCACGGAGCTGCTCATCCGGAAGCTGCCGTTCCAGCGCCTCGTGCGGGAGATCGCGCAGGACTTCAAGACCGACCTGCGCTTCCAGAGCGCCGCCATCGGAGCGCTGCAGGTCCGGGACCACGGCCCCGCCATTGCCCCTTTAACGGCCCCCCATTGCGTCTTTAAGGCCCCCCCCATTTCTCCTTTAACCCCCCCTTGTGCCTTTAAATCCCTCCATTGCCGCTTTAACGCCCCCCCATTGTGCCTTTAACACCCCCTCATTGTCCCTTTAACTCCCCCATTGCCCCTTTAACGCCCCCCCATTGCCCCTTTAACACCCCCGCCATTGTGCCTTTAACGCACCCCCATTGCCCCTTTAAGGCCCCTCCCATTGCCCCTTTAAAGCCACCCCATTGCTCCTTTAAAGCCCCCCCATTGCTCCTTTAACCCCCCCCTTCTGCCTTTAAATCCCTCCATTGCCCCTTTAACGCCCCCCCATTGTGCCTTTAACACCCCCCACCATTGCCCCTTTAACGCCCCCCCATTGCCCCTTTAACGCCCCCCCATTGTGCCTTTAACGCCCCCATTGCCCCTTTAAAGCCCCCCCATTCCCCCTTTAATGTCCCCCCGTCATTGCCCCTTTAAAGTCCCCCCATTGCGTCTTTAACTCCACCCCCTTGCCCCCTTAAGACCCCCCCCATTGCCCCTTTAACGACCCCCCATTGTGCCTTTTATCCCCCCCCCCCCGTTGCCCCTTTAACCCCCCCCACTGTGCCTTTAATGCCCCCCCCATTGTGTCTTTAACTCCCCCCCATTGCCCCTTTAATGCCCCTCCATTGCCCCTTTAACGTCCCCCCCATTGCTCCTTTAACGCCCCCTCCTTGTGCCTTTAAATCCCTCCATTGACCCTTTAACCCCCCCACTGTGCCTTGAACACCCACCCATTGTCCCTTTAACCCCCGCCATTGCCCCTTTAACGCCCCCCATTGCCCCTTTAACACCCCTGCCATTGTGCCTTTAATGCCCCCCATTGCCCCTTTAACACCCCTGCCATTGTGCCTTTAATACCCCCCATTGCCCCTTTAACACCCCCGCCATTGCCCCTTTAACGCCCCCCATTGCCCCTTTAACACCCCTGCCATTGTGCCTTTAACGCACCCCTGTTGCCCCTTTAAATCGCCCCCTCCATTGCCCCTTTAAAGCCCCTCCATTGCCCCTTTAACGTCCCCCCATTGCCCCTTTAACGTCCCCCCATTGCCCCTTTAACCCCCCCGTTGCCCCTTTAACCCCCACCCGCCATTGCCCCTTTAACACCCCCCGCTGCCTCTTTAACGGCCCTCCATTGCCCCTTTAACCCCCTCTATTGCCCCTTTAACGCCCCTCCATTGCCCTTTTAATCCCCATTGCCCCTTTAACCCCTTCCATTGCCCCTTTAACACCCCCCCATTGCCCGTTTAATGCTTTAATGCTTCCCCATTGCCCCTTTAAGCCCCCCCTTGCCCCTTTCACACCCCCCCCATTGCCCGTTTAACGCCCCCCCCCATTGCCCCTTTAACCCCTTCCAGCACCATTCCCCCCCTCTTCACATCAATCCTCCTCCCATTCCCCCCCATTCCCATTCCCCTCATTCCCATTCATCCCATTCCCATTCCCACCATTCCCATTCATCCCATTCCCCCCATTCCCTTCTTCCCATTCCCCCCATTCCCATTCCTCCCATTCCCATTCCCCCCATTCCCATTCCCCCATTCCCATTCCCCCATTCATCCCATTCATCCCATTCCCTCCATTCCCATTCATCCCGTTCCCATTCCCCCCATTCCCCCCATTCCCATTCCCCCATTCCCATTCTCCCCATTCCCCCCCCATTCCCATTCCCCCCATTCCCATTCCCCCCATCCCCATTCATCCCATCCCCATTCATCCCATTCCCCCCATTCACATTCCCCCATTCCCATTCATCCCATTCCCATTCCCCCCATTCACATTCCCCCATTCCCATTCATCCCATTCCCATTCCCCCCATTCCATTCCTCCCATTCCCATTCATCCCATTCCCATTCCCCCATTCCCATTCCCCCCATTCCATTACCCCCATTCCATTCCCCCCCATTCCCCTTCCCCCCATTCCCATTCCCGTTATCCCCCTGACTCCGGCCCCATTCCCGACAGGAAGCCAGTGAAGCCTACCTGGTGGGGCTCTTTGAGGACACCAACCTCTGCGCCATCCATGCCAAGAGGGTCACCATCATGCCCAAGGACATCCAGCTGGCCCGGCGCATCCGTGGCGAGCGCGCTTAAGGCAGGAGAGATTCCAGTTGGGATTTGGGATACACCGGGATGGGGTGGGAAGAGCGTTCCCACAGCGATCCCAAGGGATTTATGAGTGGGGTTTGGGGGGTTTCTTGGCCTCTTTTTTTTTTTGTATGCTTTTGGAGTTCCCTCCGGGTCCACGTTTGGAATTCCCGTGGTTTCTACACGATCCCGATGGATTTGGGGTTTATTTTTGGGATTTTTTTTTTGGGAAAAGGTGGGATTTGGGGTTGATTCCTGCTGGTTTTATCCCCTGGGGTCTTCCTGGCTGAATAAAGGGGACCCATCCACATTCCCTGGATGAATCCCAGCTCCATGTTATTCCTTATGGAATTGGGGGGGGGGGGGGTCTGCTCGATGAGGGGTGATTCCAGAGCTGGGGCATTCCCCATGAATATAGGGGGTTATCCATAGGGTTATCCGTGAATATAGGGGGCTATCCATGAATATAGGGGGTTATCCATAAATATAGGGGTTTAATCCATGAATATAGGGGGTTATCCATGAATATAGGGGGTTATCCATGAATATAGGGGTTTATCCATGAATATAGGGGTTTATCCATAAATATAGGGGTTTATCCATGAATATAGGGGGTTATCCATAAATATAGGGGGTTATCCATAAATATAGGGGGTTATCCATGAATATAGGGGGTTATCCATGAATATAGGGGTTTAATCCATGGATATAGGGGTTTAATCCATGAATATAGGGGTTTAATCCATGGATATAGGGGTTTAATCCATGAATATAGGGGGGTTATCCATGAATATAGGGGGGATGCCCAAGGGGGTTATTCCATGGGGGGGTTCCTTAGGGTGGGATCGGGGTTAATCCATGTTTAAGGCACTAATAAAGGGATAGGGGGGGATGGAGCCTGTAATGGGGGGGGCACAATCCCAGTGTACCCCAGTACATCCCAATGCATCCCAATACATCCCATTGTATCCCAATGCATCCCAATACATCCCAGTGTACCCCAATACATCCCAATGCATCCCAGTACATCCCAATACATCCCAGTGCACCCCAGTACATCCCAATGCACCCCAATGCACCCCAATGCCCTCTTCGCCCCCCCCGCCAATCTGCACGTAGCCACGCCCCCAGGAGGCGTGGCTTCCCCGCCGGCCTCTCCCCCACACCACGTGGTTATCACATGGCACATCCAACATGGCTGCGCCCAGGGCGGTGAGTTACGGCCGTACCCTTGGGGACGTCCCCGTTATTTACACACCCCCCCCCATTTCCGGTCCCCCCCTCGTTATTTCCGGTCCCCCCCCAATGTCCAGGACCCCCCCCCCCCCATTTCCGGGTCCCTCCAGTTTCTGGTCCCTCCCCCGTTATTTCCGGTCCCCCCCCGTTATTTTTGGGTACTCCCCCCATTTCCGGGTCCCCCCCGTTATTTCCGGTTCCCCCCCCATTTCCGCCCTCCCCGTTGTTTCCGGGTCCCCCTCCCATTTCCGGATTCCCCCCCAATTTCTGCCCCCCCCCCCCCCCCCTTTCCGGGTCCCCCCCATTATTTCCGTGTCTCCCCCCCATTTCCGGTGTCCCCCCCCCAATTTTCGGGTCCCCCCCCATTCCCCCCCCCGTTATTTCCGGGCACCCCCCGTTATTTCCGGGTCTCCCTCCCACCATTTCCGGCTCCCGCCCCCATTTCCGCCCCCCAGTTATTTCTGGGTCCTCCCCACATTTCCGGTCCCCCCCCATTTCCGTATTCCCCTCCCAATTTCTGCCCCCCCCCCCCCCCCCCCGCCCCCCCATTTCCGGGTCCCCCCCATTATTTCCGGGTCTCCCTCCCCCCATTTCCGCATTCCCCCCCCCCCCCCCCCCGTTATTTTTGGGTCCCCCCCCTTATTTCCGGTCTTCCCGTTATTTCCGGGTTTCCTCCCCCCATTTCCGCCCCCCCCATTATTTCCAGGTCTTCTCCCCCCATTTCCGGATCCCCCCCCCGAATTTCTGCCCCCCCCTGTTATTTCCGGGTCCCCCCCATTATTTCCGCCCCCCTCCATTTTCGGGTTCCCCCCGTTATTTCCGGGTCCCCTCCATTATTTCCGGGTCCCCTCCATTATTTCCGGGTCCCCCCCGTTATTTCCGGGTCCCCTGCTGTTATTTCCGGGTCCCCCCCATTTCTGGGTCCCCCCCCGTTATTTCCGGGTCCCCCGCCGTTATTTCCGGGTCCCCCCCCATTTCCGGGTTCCCCCCATTATTTCCGGGTCCCCCCCCATTTCTGGGTCCCCCTCATTATTTCCGGGTCCCCCGCCGTTATTTCCGGGTCCCCCCCATTTCCGGGTTCCTCCCCCCATTTCCGGTCCCCCTCCCCATTTCCAGGTCCCCCCCCAATTTCCAGGTTCCCCCCGTTATTTCCTGGTGTCCCCCCCCGTTATTTCCGGTTCCCCCCCCCCCATTTCCTCCCCACTTCCGTGCCCCCAGGGCCCCGCGCACCGGCTCCTGCAGGGCCTCAGCCGCTGGTTCTATGAGGCGGAAACGGCGCTGGATTGGGCCGAGCGCCTGCGGCGGCTGCGGCTGCAGCGGATGAACGCGTGCGTGGGGCGGGACCCACACTTATGGGGCGGGATCTCGTTTATGGGGCCAGACCCACACTTATGGGGTGGGATCTCGTTTATGGGGCCAGACCCACACTTATGGGGTGGGATCTCGCTTATGGGGCGGGACCCACACTTATGGGGCGGGATCTCGTTTATGGGGCCAGACCCACACTTATGGGGTGGGATCTCGCTTATGGGGCGGGACCCACACTTATGGGGCGGGATCTCGTTTATGGGGCCAGACCCACACTTATGGGGCGGGATCTCGTTTATGGGGCCAGACCCACACTTATGGGGTGGGATCTCGCTTATGGGGCGGGACCCACACTTATGGGGCGGGATCTCGTTTATGGGGCCAGACCCACACTTACGGGGCGGGATCTCGTTTATGGGGCCAGACCCACACTTATGGGGTGGGATCTCGCTTATGGGGCGGGACCCACACTTATGGGGCGGGATCTCGTTTATGGGGCCAGACCCACACTTACGGGGTGGGATCTCGTTTATGGGGCCAGACCCACACTTATGGGGTGGGATCTCGCTTATGGGGCGGGACCCACACTTATGGGGCGGGATCTCACTTACGCGGCGGGACCCACACTTGGGGGGTGGCACCTCATTAATAGGGTGGGATCTTGCTTACTGGGTCAGAACCAAACTTATGGGGTTGGACCTCATTAATGGGGTGGGATCTCGCTTATGGGGCCAGACCCACACTTATGGGGGTGGGATCTCGCTTATGGGGCCAGACGCACACTTAAGGGGCAGGACCTTGCTTATGGGACCAGACCCACACTTATGGGATGGGATCTCGTTTATGGGGCCAGACCCACACTTATGGGGTGGGATCTCGCTTATGGGGCGGGACCCACACTTATGGGGCGGGATCTCGTTTATGGGGCCAGACCCACACTTACGGGGTGAGATCTCGTTTATGGGGCCAGACCCACACTTATGGGGCGGGATCTCGTTTATGGGGCCAGACCCACACTTATGGGGTGGGATCTCGTTTATGGGGCCAGACCCACACTTACGGGGTGAGATCTCGTTTATGGGGCCAGACCCACACTTATGGGGCGGGATCTCACTTATGGGGCCAGACGCACACTTAAGGGGCAGGACCTTGCTTATGGGACCAGACCCACACTTATGGGGCGGGATCTCGTTTATGGGGCCAGACCCACACTTATGGGGCGGGATCTCGTTTATGGGGCCAGACCCACACTTATGGGGCGGGATCTCGTTTATGGGGCCAGACCCACACTTATGGGGTGGGATCTCGTTTATGGGGCCAGACCCACACTTATGGGGCGGGATCTCGTTTATGGGGCCAGACCCACACTTATGGGGTGGGATCTCGTTTATGGGGCCAGACCCACACTTATGGGGCGGGATCTCGTTTATGGGGCCAGACCCACACTTATGGGGTGGGATCTCGCTTATGGGGCGGGACCCACACTTATGGGGCGGGATCTCACTTATGCGGCGGGACCCACACTTGGGGGGTGGCACCTCATTAATAGGGTGGGATCTTGCTTACGGGGTCAGAACCAAACTTATGGGGTTGGACCTCATTAATGGGTGGGATCTCGCTTATGGGGCCAGACCCACACTTATGGGGTGGGATCTCGCTTATGGGGCCAGACGCACACTTAAGGGGCAGGACCTTGCTTATGGGACCAGACCCACACTTATGGGATGGGATCTCGTTTATGGGGCCAGACCCACACTTATGGGGTGGGATCTCGCTTATGGGGCGGGACCCACACTTATGGGGCGGGATCTCGTTTATGGGGCCAGACCCACACTTACGGGGTGGGATCTCGCTTATGGGGTGGGACCCACACTTATGGGGCGGGACCCACACTTATGGAGCGGGATCTCGTTTATGGGGCCAGACCCACACTTAAGGCGCGGGACCCACACTTATGGGGCGGGATCTCGTTTATGGGGCGGGACCCACACTTGGGGGGTGGGACCTCATTAATGGGGTGGGATCTCGCTTATGGGGCCAGACCCATACTTAGGGGGTGGGATGTTGCTTATGGGGCCAGACCTTCACTTATGGGGTGGGATCTTGCTTATGGGGCAGACCCATAGGGGTTGGATGCAGCCCCATACATGTGGGGCAGACCCATAGGGGCTGCACCCAGCCCCATACATGTGGGGCAGACCCATAGGGGTTGCACCCACCCCATACATGTGGGGCAGACCCATACACGTGGGCAGACCCATACACGTGGGGCAGACCCATAGGGGTTGGATGCAGCCCCATACATGTGGGGCAGACCCATAGCGGTTGGATGCAGCCCCATACACGTGGGGCAGACCATAGGGGTTGGATGCAGCCCCATACACATGGGGCAGACCCATAGGGGTTGCACCCAGCCCCATACATGTGGGGCAGAGCCATAGCGGTTGGATGCAGCCCCATACACGTGGGGCAGACCCATAGGGGTTGGATGCAGCCCCATACACATGGGGCAGACCCATAGGGGTTGCACCCAGCCCCATACATGTGGGGCAGACCCATACACGTGGGGCAGACCCATAGGGGTTGGATGCAGCCCCATACACGTGGGGCAGACCCATAGGGGCTGCACCCAGCCCCATACACGTGGGGCAGACCCATAGGGGCTGCACCCAGCCCCATACATGTGGGGCAGACCCATACACGTGGGGCAGACCCATAGGGTTGGCTGCAGCCCCATACACGTGGGGCAGAGCCATAGGGGCTGCACCGAGCCCCATACACGTGGGGCAGACCCATAGGGGCTGCACCCAGCCCCACACTCCCCCTATAGGTCCCACGTGTACCTGAGGGACACCTACGGACCCAACGTGGCCGCTGCTGCCTTCACGCTATCCTTGGGGGGAGCGGTCAGGTGAGGCCCTGCCCCACACATGGGGGGCGGGTTCCCTGTGCCCCATAAGTGTGGGGCTGGCCCTGACGCCGCTCCCGCCCCATAGATACGAGGGGCAGGAGCAGTGGCTGCGGGCGGAGGGGCCCTGGCAGCAGGAGGTGCTGCAGCTCCGCAGCGCCCCCGTGTGGGGCCTGGACCTCAGCGCATGCCCCGTGACCTACAGCGGCCTCGAGAACCTGCGTGAGCACGGGGGGGCCCTATGGGAGCCTATAGAACCCTATGGGACCCTATGGGAGCCCTATAGAAACCTATGGAAACCTATGGGAGCCCTATAGAACCCTGTGGGAGCCCTATAGAACCCTATGGGACCCTATAGAACCTATGGAGCCCTATAGAACCCTATGGGAGCAAATGGGAGCCCTAGAGAACCCTACGGGAGCCTATAGAACCCTATGGAGCCCTATAGAACCCTATGGGACCCTATGGGGAGCCTATAGAACCCTGTGGGACCCTATGGGAGCCTATAGAACCCTGTGGGACCCTATGGGAGCCCTATAGAACCCTGTGGGAGCCCTATGGGAACCCTATAGAACCCTATGGGAGCCCTATAGAAACCTATGGAAGCCAATGGGAGCCCTATAGAACCCTATGGGAGCCCTATGAGAGCCCTATAGAACCCTATGGGAGCCCTATAGAACCCTGTGGGAGCCCTATAGAACCCTATGGGAGCAAATGGGAGCCCTATAGAACACTATGGGACCCTATAGAACCCTATGGGAGCAAATGGGAGCCCTATAGAACCCTATGGGAGCCCTATAGAACCCTATGGGAGCCAATGGGAGCCCTATTAGAACCCTGTGGGAGCCCTATGGGAGCCCTATAGAACCCTGTGGGAGCCCTATAGAACCCTATGGGAGCCCTATAGAAACCTATGGAAACCTATGGGAGCCCTATAGAAGCCCTATTGAACCCTATGGGAGCCAATGGGAGCCCTATAAAACCCTATGGGAGCCAATGGGAGCCCTATAGAACCCTATGGGAGCCCTATAGAAACATATGGGAGCCCTATGGGAGCCCTATAGAACCCTATGCGACCCTATAGAAACCTATGGGACCCTCTGGGACCTTATGGGAGCCCTATAGAACCTTGTGGGCCCTATGGGAGCCCTATAGAGCCCTATAGAAACCTATGAAAGCCCTATAGAACGCTGTGGGACTCTACGGGAGCCCTATATGGCCCCCTACGGGAGCCCTATATGGCCCTATAGAACCCCATTGCCCCCTATAGACTCCTATGGGACCCCCATTGCACCCTAGAGACCCCTATAGACTTCTATATAGCCCTATGGGACCCCCATATCCACCTATAGACCCCTATGGAACCACTATATAGCCTTATAGGACCTGCATACACCCTATAGGACCCCTATATAGCCCTATAGAACCTCCGTATCTCCCTATGAGACCCCTATATAGCCCTATAGAACCCCCTTATCCCCCTATGGGACCCCTATATAGCCCTATAGGACCCCAATAGTCCCCTATATAGCCCTATAGAACCCCCATATCCCCCTATGGGACCCCTATATAGCCCTATAGAACCCACATATCCCCCTATGAGATCCCGATATAGCCCTATAGAACCCCCATAGCCCCCTATGGGACCCCTATATAGCCCTATAGGCCCCCATTGCCCCTTACAGACCCCTATAGGACCCCAACAGTCCCCTATATAGCCCTATAGGACCCCCACTGCCCCTTATAGATCCCTATAGGACCCCAACAGTCCCCTATATAGCCCTATAGAACCCCCATATCCCCCTATGAGACCCCTATATAGCCCTATAGACCCCCATAGCCCCCTATATAGCCCTATAGACCCCCATATCCCCCTATGGGACCCCTATATAGCCCTATAGAACCCCCATATCCCCCTATGGGACCCCTATATAGCCCTATAGGACCCCAATAGACCCCTAGATAGCCCTATAGGACCCCCATTGCCCCTTATAGACCCCTATAGGACCCCAACAGTCCCCTATATAGCCCTATAGAACCCCCATATCCCCCTATGGGACCCCCATATAGCCCTATAGACCCCCATAGCCCCCTATGGGACCCCTATATAGCCCTATAGAACCCCATATCCCCCTATGGAACCCCTATATAGCCCTATAGAACCCCCATATCCCCCTATGGGACCCCTATATAGCCCTATAGAACCCCCATAGCCCCCTATGGGACCCCTATATAGCCCTATAGGACCCCAATACACCTCTATATAGCCCTATAGGACCCCCATTGCCCCTTATAGACCCCTATAGGACCCCAACAGTCCCCTATATAGCCCTATAGAACCCCCATATCCCCCTATGAGACCCCTATATAGCCCTATAGACCCCCATAGCCCCCTATATAGCCCTATAGAACCCCCATATCCCCCTATAGAACCCCCATATCCCCCTATGGGACCCCTATATAGCCCTATAGAACCCCCATATTCCCCTATAGAACCCCTATATCCCCCCTATGGGACCTCTATATAGCCCTATAGAACCCCCACATCCCCCTATGGGACCCCTATAGCCCCCCATGGGACCCCTATATAGCCCTATAGACCCCCACATCCCCCTATGGAACCCCTATAGCCCCCCATGGCACCCCTATATAGCCCTATAGACCCCCATATCCCCCTATGGGACCCCCATATCCCCCTATAGAACCCCCATATCCCCCTATAGAACCCCCATATCCCCCTATGGGACCCCTATAGGGCCCCCCATAGATCCCCCCCTCCCCCCCCCAGTGCCCCTCCCCCGCCTGGCGCTCCTGGACCTCAGCTCCTGCCCCCACGTGGACGACTGGGCCGTGGCGCGCCTGCGCGGGCTAGGCCCCGCCCTCCGCGCCCTCTCGCTCTCGCGATGCCCCCGCGTGACCGAGCGTGGCTTGGCCACGCTGCATCACTTCCGGTACGTACCAAGATGGACACCGGGAAAGGGGGGGGACGGGACACACACACACACATGATTCCCTATGGGAATGACGCCCGTTATCCCATAGGGAATTGCGGTACCTGGATGTGAGCGGCCTCGCCGTGCCCAGCCCGGGCCTCGTGCGGATCCTGCTCGAGGAGATGCTCCCGCGCTGCCGCATTGTGGGCATGGACCTGGAAACACAACAACCCCCCCCCCCCCCCCCGGCATGACATGAACTCGTCCGGGTAACCCCCCACAGCCCCTATTAAAGGCATGGCTTGGGAGAGTCCATTGGGATTTGGGGGGGGATGGATTCCGTTTGGGGTTAATTCCCCCCTTTTTCGGCCTCAATGCCGTGGTTTTGTCGTTTATTCCCTATTTTTAACAGTAATTCCCCCTTTTTTTGACATTATTCCCCTTTTTGGGGGATTATTCCCCTTTTTTTTTCGCCTTTCCCACTTTTTGCCGTTAATTCCCCACTTTTTTCCCATTAATTCCCCATTTTTTACCATTATTTCCCCATTTTTTACCAATAATTCCCCATTTTTGGGGGATTATTCCCCTTTTTTCACCATTCCCATTTTTTTCCGTTAATTCCCCACTTTTTTTCCCATTAATTCCCCATTTTGGGGATTATTCCCCTTTTTTTGCCATTAATTCCCCGTTTTTTGCAATTATACCCCTTTTTGCCATTAATTCCATTTTTTGCCATTAATTCCCCTTTCTTTGCCATTAATTAATATTTTTTCCCGTTAGTTCCCCATTTTTTCCATTATTTCCTCTTTTTTATCATTAATTCCCCATTTTTTGCAATTATACCCCATGTTTTGCCATTAATTCCCATTTTTTCCCATTAATTCCCCATTTTTTTCATTATTCCCCATTTTTTACCATTAATTCCCCATTTGTTGCCATTAATTCCAATTTTTTTTCCATTAATTCCCCATGTTTTGCCATTAATGCCCATTTTTTGACATTATTCCCCATTTTTGCCCTGAATTCCCCCTTTCTGGAGCCAATTTCCACTTTCTCGCAGCAATCCCCGCTTTTTGGTGTCAATTCCACCTTCTTTTAATGTTAATTCCCTTTGTTTTGGTAAAAATTCCTCCTTTTCTGCTATAAATCCCCCTATTTTTGGTGTCAATGCCGCCTTTTTCCTATAATCCTTCTTTTTTTGCAACAAATTCCTGTTTTTTAGGTGGCAATTCCCATTTTGACCTCAATTCCCCCTTCTTTAGTGTAATTTCCCCTTTTGGGTGTAAAATTACTCCTTTTTGGGTAGAAATCCCCCTTTTTTAGTGTTAATTCCACACTTTTTGGCCTCATTTCTCCCTTTTTTTGCCATCATTCCCGCTTTTTGCTGATAATTCCCCCTTTTCTGCTTAAAACTCCTCCATTTTTGGTAAAAATCCCCCCTTTTTTGGCCTCATCCCCCCTTTCTGCTGATAATTCCCCTTTTGGGGGTAAAATTCCTTCATTTTTGGTAAAAATCCCCCTTTGTTTGGCCTCATCCCCCCTTTTTGCAGTTAATTCCCCCCTTTTCGGGTAAAAATCCCTCCATTTTTGGTACAACCCCCCAGTTTGATGAGAATTCCCCCCTTTTCGGGTAAAATCCCTCCATTTTGGTACAACCCCCCATTTTGATGATAATTCCCCCTTTTCGGGTAAATCCCTCCATTTTTGGTACAACCCCCCCTTTTTTGGTGTTCATCCCCCCTTTTTTCGCATCAATCTCCCTTTTCCATCATTATCCCACAATTTATTGCCCTTTTCCTTTCCCAACTTCCCAGCCCCTTCCCCTGGTGCAGAAAGGACGGGGGGGGAATCCCTTTGAGTCCATTTATAACATTGGGACACTTCCCCCCCCCCCCCCTTGTGGGCTACACTTGGTTTATCCCACCCATTTCATTGCGCAGCGCTGGGCGAGCCCATTGCTGCCCCATGGGGGGGGTTCAGGACCCTGTTTCAGGGGTTCCCCCCCCATTGGGCAGCGCTGGGTGAGCCCATTGCAGCTCCATAGGGGGGGTTATGGGGTGGGGGGGTCAGGATCGTGTTTCAAGAGGGTCCCCCCCCCACTGGGCAGTGCTGGGTGAGCCCATTGCAGCTCCATGGGGGGAGTTTAGGATCCTGTTTCAAAGGGGTTCCCCCCATTGGGCAGTGCTGGGCGAACCCATTGCAGCTCCATGGGGGGGTTCAGGACCCCGTTTCAGGGGGTTCCCCCCCATTGGGCAGCGCTGGGCGAACCCATTGCAGCTCTATGGGGGGGGGTTCAGGATCCTGTTTCAAGGGGGTCCCCCCATTGGGCAGCCCTGGGCGAGCCCATTCATGGTGCAGGAAGGGGGGGTTCCTGTTCGTCTATGGGGGGGTCCCCGCCGCTCTCAAAGAGCTCCATGGGGTAGTGTTGACCGTAACGGCGGAGGTGCTGCTGGAGCGCCCCCCGCTGGCGCTGCAGGTGAAGCGGCAGCTCCCGGTACACGTCCGAGAAGAGGAGCTGTGGGGCCGGCTTGGGAAGGCGCTCGGCGGCGGTGAACGACTCCAGGACCTGCGGGATCGGGAAGGATCGGAAAAGATCGGAAATGTTCGGATGGGGGGGTCGGAAACGTTCGGAAATGCTCGGAAAGGTTCCGATGGGGGGGTCGGAAGGGATCGGAAACGTTCGGGGTGGGGGGGATCGGAAGGGTTCAGATGGGAGGGGTCGGAAGGCATCGGAAACGTTCGGAAGGGGGGGGGTCGGAAGGGATCGGAAACGTTCGGAGGGGATCAGAAAGGTTCGGGGGGGGGGTCGGAAGGGATCGGAAACGTTCGGAAGGTTCTTATGCTTTCCCACCAAATTCCCTCCCCATTCCCACCCCATCCCCTTTCCCATCCCATCCAATCCCAATTTCCACCCCATCCCCACCCCATTCCCACTCCCATCCCCATCCCTATCCCCACCCCATTCCAATCCCCACCCCATTCCCATCCAATCCCAATTTCCACCCCATTCCCACTCCCATCCCCACCCCATCCCCTCCAACCCCACCCCATCCCCACCCATTCCTACCCCATTCCTTTTCCCACCCCATCCGATGGCGATTTCCACCCCATTCTCACCCCATCCCCAACCCACCCCACCCAATTCCCTCCCCATCCCACCCAACCCCATCCCCACCCATTCCCATCCCATCCCTTCCCACCCCATTCCCACCCCATTCCTTTTCCCACCCTGTCCCATCCGCACCCCACCCCATTCCCACTCGATCCCCACCCCATTCCCATCCCCTTTCCCACCCCATTCCCACCCCCATCCCACCCCATCCCCATCCCATCCCCACCCCACCCCATTCCCTCCCCATCCCACCCCATTCCCATCCCCATCCCACCCCATTCCTTTTCCCACCTCATCCCGTCCCCACCCCACCCCATCCCCTCCCCATCCCACCCCATTCCCATCCCCATCCCACCCCATTCCCATCCCCATCCCACCCCATCCCCACCCATTCCCACCCCATTCCTTTTCCCACCCCGTCCCATCCGCACCCCACCCCATTCCCACTCGATCCCCACCTGATCCCCACCCCATTCCCATCCCCACCCCATTCCCATCCCATCCCCAGCCCACCCCATTCCCATCCCCATCCCACCCCATTCCTTTTCCCACCCCATTCCTTTTCCCACCCCATCCCGTCCCCACCCCACCCCATCCCCTCCCCATCCCAACCCATTCCCATCCCCATCCCACCCTATCCCCACCCATTCCCACCCCATTCCTTTTCCCACCCCATCCCGTCCCCACCCCACCCCATTCCCACTCGATCCCCACCTGATCCCCACCCCATTCCCATCCCACCCCATTCCCACCCCATCCCATCCCCGTTACCATCTTCCTGGAGCTCTTCCTCCAGCCCTTCTCCTGCTCCTCATCCCACCAGCCCTTGTGGAGCAGGAAGTGCCGGAGGCGGGAGATGGGATGATCCTGCTTATCCCAGTAATCCACCTCATCCACGGAGCGGTATGCAGAGCTGTCATCGCTGGTGCTGTGGTGCCCGATCCTGGCGCCGGGAATGCCATGGGATTTGGGTCGGGATAGGGGGATTTGGGGGGGATTTGGGTCGGGATAGGGGGATTTGGGGGGGGAAGAGGGGGATTTGGGGATGGAAAATACGGATTTGGGCTGCAAGAGTGGGATTTGGGTCTGGGAAGTCCAGATCTCAGTGGGGAAGAGCTGAATTTGGGGTGGGAATAGGGGGATTTGGGGTGGGAAGAGCTGGGTTTGCGTCAGGAATAGCGGGATTTGGGGCTGGAAGAGCCGGATTTGGGTAAGGAATAGTGGGATTTGAGGCTGGAAGAGCAGGATTTGGGTCGGGAAGAGCCAGATTTGGGTAAGGAATAGTGGGATTTGAGGCTGGAAGAGCGGGATTTAGGTCGGGAAGAGCGGGATACGGGTTGGGAAGAGCGGGATTTAGGTCGGGAAGAGCGGGATACGGGTTGGGAAGAGTGGGATTTAGGTTGGGAAGAGCGGGATACGGGTTGGGAAGAGCGGGATTTAGGTCGGAGAGAGCGGGATACGGGTTGGGAAGAGCTGGATTTAGGTCGAGAAGAGTGGGATACGGGTCGGGAAGAGCGGGATTTAGGTCGGGAAGAGCGGGATTTAGGTCGGGAAGAGCGGGATACGGGTTGGGAAGAGCTGGATTTAGGTCGGGAAGAGTGGGATACGGGTTGGGAAGAGCTGGATACGGGTTGGGAAGAGCGGGATTTAGGTCGGGAAGAGGGGGATACGGGTCGGGAAGAGCGGGATTTAGGTCGGGAAGAGTGGGATACGGGTTGGGAAGAGCTGGATACAGGTTGGGAAGAGCGGGATTTAGGTCGCGAAGAGGGGGATACGGGGATACGGGTCGGGAAGCCTCGGGAATGCCATCCCATGGGATACCTGTAGGTCATGGCCTCGATGAGCACGGGCCGGTTCTCGGCCACGGCGCGGCGCCGCGCTTCCCGCGTCGCCTTGTAGACGGCGAAGACGTCGTTGCCGTCCACGCGGATGGAGAGCAGCCCATAGCCGGGCCCGCGGGCCGCTGGGATACGGATAGGGGCCTGGGATACGGATACGGCCCCGGCCGGGGACTGCATCCATCCCTATGCCATGTTCTGGGTACCACATCCATCCCTATGCCGTGTTCCGGGTACCACATCCATCCCTATGCCGTGTCCTGGGTACCACATCCATCCCTATGCAACATTCTGGGTACCACATCCATCCCTATGCAACGTTCTGGGTACCACATCTATCCCTATGCCGTGTTCCGGGTACCACATCCATCCCTATGCAACATTCTGGGTACCACATCCATCCCTATGCCGTGTCCTGGGTACCACATCCATCCCTATGCAACGTTCTGGGTACCACATCTATCCCTATGCCGTGTTCCGGGTACCACATCCATCCCTATGCCGTGTTCCGGGTACCACATCCATTCCTATGCCATGTTCTGGGTACCATATCCATCCCTATGCCGTGTTCCGGGTACCACATCCATCCCTATGCCGTGTTCCGGGTACCACATCCATCCCTATGCCATGTTCTGGGTACCACATCCATCCCTATGCCATGTTCCGGGTACCACATCCATCCCTATGCCGTGTTCCGGGTACCACATCCATCCCTATGCCATGTTCTGGGTACCACATCCATCCCTATGTGCCATGTTCTGGGTACCACATCCATCCCTATGCCGTGTTCCGGGTACCACATCCATTCCTATGCAACATTCTGGGTACCACATCCATCCCTATGCAACATTCTGGGTACCACATCCATCCCTATGCCATGTTCTGGGTACCACATCCATCCCTATGCCGTGTTCCGGGTACCACATCCATCCCTATGCAACATTCTGGGTACCACATCCATCCCTATGCCATGTTCTGGGTACCACATCCATCCCTATGCCGTGTTCCGGGTACCACATCCATCCCTATGCAACATTCTGGGTACCACATCCATCCCTATGCCGTGTTCCGGGTACCACATCCATCCCTATGCAACATTCTGGGTACCACATCCATCCCTATGCCGTGTTCTGGGTACCACATCCATCCCTATGCAACATTCTGGGTACCACATCCATCCCTAAGCCGTGTTCTGGGCACCATATCGCTCCCGTTACCCCATCCCAGGTCCCACATCCCTCTCTTTACCCCATCCTAGGTACCAAATCCCTCCCGTTACCACATTCCGGGTCCCACATCCCTCTCTTTACCGCATCCTAGGTCCCACATCCCTCCTGTTACCACATCCCAGGTACCACATCCCTCTCTTTACCACATCCCAGGTACCACATCCCTCTCTTTACCCCATCCCAGGTACCACATCCCTCCCGTTACCACATCCTAGGTACCACATCCCTCTCTTTACCACATCCCAGGTACCACATCCCTCTCTTTATCCCATCCCAGGTACCACATCCCTCTCTTTACCCCATCCCAGGTACCGCATCCCTCTCTTTACCCCATCCCAGGTACCACATCCCTCTCTTTATCCCACCCCAGGTACCACATCCCTCTCATTACCACATCCCAGGTACCACATCCCTCTCTTTATCCCATCCCAGGTACCACATCCCTCTCTTTATCCCACCCCAGGTACCACATCCCTCTCTTTACCCCATCCTAGGTACCACATCCCTCTCTTTACCCCATCCCAGGTACCACATCCCTCTCTTCACCCCATCCTAGGTCCCACATCCCTCTCTTTACCCCATCCCAGGTACCACATCCCTCTCTTCACCCCATCCTAGGTACCGCATCCCTCTCTTTACCCCGTCCCAGGTACCACATCCCTCTCTTCACCCCACCCCAGGTACCACATCCTTCTCGTTACCACATCCTAAGTACGACATCCCTTTCTTTACCCCACCCCAGGTACCACATCCCTCTCTTTACCACATCCCAGGTACCACATCCCTCTCATTACCACATCCAAGGTACCACATCCCTCTCTTTACGCCATCCTAGGTACCGCATCCCTCTCTTTACCACATCCTAGGTACCACATCCCTCTCTTTACCCCATCCTAGGTACCACATCCCTCTCTTTACCACATCCTAGGTACCACATCCCTCTCATTACCACATCCTAGGTACCGCATCCCTCTCTTTACCCCATCCTAAGTACCGCATCCCTCTCTTTACCACATCCCAGGTACCACATCCCTCTCTTTACCCCACCCCAGGTACCACATCCCTCTCTTTACCACATCCCAGGTACCACATCCCTCTCTTTACCACATCCTAGGTACCACATCCATCCCTATGCCCTGTTCTGGTTACCACATCCCTCTCTTTCCCCCATCCCAGGTACCACATCCCTCCCATTACCGTATCCCTCCCGTTACCCCATCCTCGTTACCACCACCACACCCCCCCTCCCGGTTAGTCGGTACCGATGCCGTCGCCGCGGTACTGCTCGGCCGTGGGGGTGGAGATGGCGTAGCCGTTGTTCCTGCAGAAGAAGACGATTGGGCACTCCAGGGTGGCGGCGAAGTTGAAGCCGGCGTGAGCGTCGCCTTCGCTGGCCGCCCCCTCGCCGAAGTAGCAGATGACGGCGCGGTTGGCGTCGGCTCGCTTGATGGCGTAGGCGGCCCCCACGGCTGCGGGAGGAACGGGGAGGGGGGGGACTGGGATCACTGGGGGGGACTGGGAGGGACTGGGATTGGGAGAACTGGGGGGGACTGGGAGGGACTGGGAGGACTGGGATTGGGAGAAATGGGGGGGACTGGGAGGGACTGGGAGGACTGGGAGGGATTGGGAGAAATGGGGGGGACTGGGATCACTGGGGGGACTGGGAGGGGTTGGGAGGGACTGGGATTGGGAGAACTGGGGGGGACTGGGATCACTGGGGGGGGACTGGGATTGGGAGAACTGGGGGGGACTGGGAGGGACTGGGGGGGACAGGGAGGGATTGGGAGAAATGGGGGGGACTGGGGGGGACTGGGATCACTGGGGGAGGGACTGGGAGGGGTTGGGAGGGACTGGGATTGGGAGGGACTGGGGGGGACTGGGAGGGACTGGGAGGGATTGGGAGAACTGGGGGGGACTGGGAGGGACTGGGAGGGATTGGGAGAAATGGGGGGGACTGGGATCACTGGGGGAGGGACTGGGAGGGGTTGGGAGGGACTGGGATTGGGAGAACTGGGGGGGACTGGGAGGGACTGGGAGGACTGGGAGGGGTTGGGAGAACGGGATTGGGAGAACTGGGATCACTGGGGGGGACTGGGAGGGACTGGGGGGACTGGGATTGGGAGAACTGGGGGGACTGGGAGGGACTGGGAGGGACTGGGATTGGGAGAACTGGGGGGGACTGGGAGGGACTGGGAGGACTGGGAGGGATTGGGAGAAATGGGGGGGACTGGGATCACTGGGGGAGGGACTGGGAGGGGTTGGGAGGGACTGGGATTGGGAGAACTGGGATCACTGGGGGGGACTGGGAGGGGTTGGGAGAACGGGATTGGGAGAACTGGGATCACTGAGGGGGACTGGGAGGGACTGGGGGGACTGGGATCACTGGGGGGGACTGGGAGGGACTGGGAGAACTGGGGAGGGACTGGGAGGGACTGGGGGGGACTGGGAGAAATGGGGGGGACTGGGAGGGACTGGGGGGGACTGGGATCACTGGGGGAACTGGGAGGGACTGGGATCACTGGGGGGGACTGGGAGGGACTGGGGGGGACTGGGAGGGACTGGGAGAACTGGGGGGGGGGGGGGCTGGGATCTCTGGGGGGGACTGGGAGAACGGGACTGGGATAACCGGGAGGGACTGGGATCACTGGGGGGGGACTGGGAGAAGTGGGAGGGGTTGGGAGAACTGGGGGGGACTGGGAGAACTGGGGGGGACTGGGAGAACTGGAAGGGACGGGGAGAACTGGGAGGGGTTGGGAGAACGGGATTGGGATAACCAGGAGGGATTGGGAGAACTGGGAGGGCTCAAGGAAGGGGTAAAGGAAGGGATAACACCAGGAAAAGGGGGAAAGGGCTCAAGGAAGGGCTGAAGGAAGGGATAATGCCAGGAAAAGGGATAAAGGATGGGATAATGCCAGGGAAAGGGCTCAAGAAGGGATAAAAGAAGGGATAACACCAGGAAAAGGGGGAAAGGGCTGAAGGAAGGGCTCAAGAAAGGGCTAAAGGAAGGGATAACACTGGGAAAAGGGGGAAAGGGCTAAAGGAAGGGCTAAAGGAAGGGATAAAGGAAGGGATAACACCGGGAAAAGGGGGAAAGGGCTGAAGGAAGGGCTAAAGGAAGGGATAAAGGAAGGGATAACACCGGGAAAAGGGGGAAAGGGCTGAAGGAAGGGATAAAGGAAGGGATAAAGGAAGGGATAACACCGGGAAAAGGGGAAAAGGATAAAAGAAGGGCTAAAGGAAAGGATAACACTGGGAAAAGGGCTAAAGGATGGAACAATGCCAGCAAAAGGGCTAAAGTAAGGGATAAAGTAAGGGATAACACCAGGAAAAGGGGAAAAGGGCTGAAGGAAGGGATAAAGGAAGGGCTAAAGGAAGGGATAACACTGGGAAAAGAGGGAAAGGCCTGAAGAAAGGGATAAAAGAAGGGATAACACCGGGAAAAGGGCTAAAGGAAGGGCTAAAGGAAGGGCTAACACTGGGAAAAGGGGGAAAGGGCTGAAGGAAGGGATAAAGGAAGGGATAAAGGAAGGGATAAAGGAAGGGATAACACCGGGAAAAGGGATAAAACGATAAAGGAAGGGCTAAAGGAAGGGATAAAAGAAGGGATAACACTGGGAAAAGGGCTAAAGGAAGGGCTAAAGGAAGGGATAACACCGGGAAAAAGGATAAAGGAAGGGCTAAAGGAAGGGATAACACCGGGAAAAGGGATAAAGGAAGGGATAAAGAAAGGGATAACAGCAGGAAAAGGGCTGAAGGAAGGGGTCACAGCAGGGAAAGGGCGAAAGGCAGGGAGCTCCCTGCAGCACCTTGAGGGATCTGGGTGGCCAAAGGCGACGAGATGGTGACAAAGTGCCGCTCGCGGCAGCCGTAGTGCACCGGCATCTGCCGCCCCTTCCCGGGATCCCGGCTATTCCCATAGCACTGAGCCATGAACAGGTCCAAGGGATACCCCCGGTACAGGAGGACGCCTGCAAAGAGAGGGGGAAATGAGGGGGGGGGGGGGGGGGGGGGAAACACCCCTAAAATGAGCCCCAAAAAGGTGGGGGGATCCTCACCCCCCAACACCATGTACCTGCCTCTCGGTACTGCCCAAAGACCAGGTCGGTGTCGTCGAGCGCGGCCGCGCTGCCCACGTGGGTGCCTTCCTCACCGTAGTTGGTCATGTAAAAGGAGATGCGGCCCTGGAAAAGGAGGGGAAGGGGGTTTGGGGGGGACAAAGGGGATTTGGGGGGGGAAACGGGGGGGAAAAGGGGGATTTGGGGGGGGGAAAGGGGAATTTGGGGGGGGAAATGGGGATTTGGGGGGGGGGGAAAGGGGGATTTGGGGGGGGAAATGGGGGGGAAAAGGGGGATTTGGGGGGGGGAAAGGGGGATTTGGGGGGGGAAATGGGGATTTGGGGGGGGGAAAGGGGGATTTGGGTTGGGAAGAGGGGGATGTGGGGGGGAAATGTTGGGAAAGGGGAAAGGGGGATTTGGGGGGAAAGGGGATTTGGGGAGTAAAAGGGGGATTTTGGGAGGAAAGGGGGGGAAAGGGGGATTGGGGGGGGAAGGGGATTGGGGGGGAAGGGATTTGGGGGCAAAGGGGGAATTGGGGGGGAAAGGGGGATTTGGGGGGGGAAACGCTGGGAAAGGGGGATTTGGGGGGGAAAACGGGGGGAAAGGGGGATTTGGGGGCCAAGGGGGGGAAAAGGGGGTTTGGGGGGGAAAAGGGGGATTTGAGGGGGGAAAGGGGGGAAAAGGGGATTTGGGGGGAAGGGGGATTTGGGGGGGGAGGGGGAAAAGGGGGATTTGGGGGAGAAAAAGGGGGATTTAGGGGGGAAGGGGGATTTGGGGGGGAAGGAGGGGAAAGGGGGATTTGGGGGGGCAAGGGGGGGGCAAGGAGGTTTGGGGGGGAAAAGGGGGATTTGGGGAGGGGAAAAGGGGGATTTGAGGGGGGGAAAGGGGGGCAAAGGGGATTGGGGGGAAGGGGGATTGGGGGGAAGGGTGGGGAAAGGGGGATTTGGGGGGGCAGGGAGATTTGGGGGGGGAAAAGGGGGATTTAGGGGGGGAAGGGGGATTGGGGGGGTGCCCTACCTGGCGCTGGGACTCGTACAGGATGCGGTCCATGGTGTTGAGCAGGGTCATGGTCTTGTAGAGCTTCAGCACCAGCTCCTTGGGCAGCTGGGGGGGTCATACATGTTGTTAGCGTGTTGGGGGGGTCATACATGTTGTTAGCGTGTTGGGGGGGGTCATACATGTTGTTAGTGTGTTTGGGATCATACATGTTGTTAGCGTGTTTGGGGGTCATACATGTTGTTAGCGTGTTTGGGGGTCATACATGTTGCTAGCATGCATGATTATACATGCTAACAACCTATGTTTCAAGAATCATACATGCTAAACACATGTCGTTGGTTGACCACACATGCCTATAACATGTCATTGGTTGACCATATATGCTAATACCATGTCGTCGGTTGACCATACATGCTAATAACATGTCACTGGTTGACCATCCATGCTAATAACATGTCATTGGTTGACCATACATGCCAATAACACGTCATTGGTTGACCATACATGCTAATAACGTCATTGGTTGACCATACATGCCAATAACGTGTAGTTGGTTGACCATACATGCCAATAACATGCCGTTGGTTGACCATACATGCCAATACCATGTCACTGGTTGACCATACACGCCAATACCATGTCGTTGCTTGACCATACATGCCAATACCATGTCGTTGGTTGACCATACATGCCAATACCATGTCGTTGGTTGACCATACACGCCAATACCATGTCGTTGGTTGACCATACATGCCAATACCATGTCGTTGGTTGACCATACATGCCAATACCATGTCGTTGGCTGACCATACATGCCAATACCATGTCACTGGTTGACCATACACGCTAATACCATGTCGTTGGTTGACCCGACATGCCAATAGCATGTCATTGGCTGACCATCCATGCCCAGCCGGAGCCCTGACCTGGGGGTCCTCGCTCTGGCGCAGGATGTGGCCCTGCCGGTCCATGACGCGGTACACGGGGATGCCGGAGATGACGTTGGGTTGGATGAACTCCAAGCGCTCCGCGAACTCCGCCGAGGCCCCCGGGAACTGCGGCTTCTCCTCGGGGACTTCCTATGGGAACAACATGGACGCGATTGAGCCGGCCCCGCCAAAACCACCAAAACACGCGTGTAGCTATCGCGATATGGCGCTATGGAGGCTGGGGGGGGGGGGGGGGGGTGTGTCGCGATATGGGGCATCGCTCACCGCGGTGCCGAACCCGCGCCCCCGCGCCCTCAGGAGCCGCGCTCGCAGCAGCCGCAGCGCCGCCATCTTGCCGTCGTGGGCGTGGCCGCGGAGAGGCGTGGCCAATGGGAGAGCGCGCTGCTGCGCTCCCCCCGCCCCCAGACCGCAGAGACCAATGGGTGGCGGAGGTGTTGGAGGAGGCCAAGATGGCGGCGGGCAACGGGTGGTGTTGTCGTGCGGCCTCGGAACCCCACTGGGCCAATGGCGGCCGATATACGGCTGTCGGGACCGCGAGCTATCGCGATATGCGGGTATCGGGACCGGGGGCTATCGCGATACGGGGCTCGCTCACCGCGGAGCCGCGCTCGCAGCGCCCTCAGCGCCGCCATCTTGCCTCCGGAAGGTTTGACCAATGAGAGAGCACGCTGCTGCGCCCTCCCATCCCGCCGCGACCAATGGGAGGCGGCGGTGTTGAGAGAGGCCAAGATGGCGGCGGGCAGCGGGTCTTGTTTGCCGCCCTTGGCCGCTATCGCGACACGACGACGGCTCCGCCGCCTTCCTTCAGGGTGAGGGCCTCTTCCGCGCTGCCTCCGAACCCCACAGGGCTAAAGGCTGCCGATATGCGGCTGTCGGGACCGGGGACTATCGCGATACAGGGCTCCCTCACCGCGAAGCCGCGCTCGCAGCGCCGCCATCTTGCCTCCGGAAGGGGGCGGGAACGTTTGACCAATGAGAGAACGCGCTGCTGCGCCCCTCCCATCCCGCCGCGACCAATGGGAGGCGGCGGTGTTGAGAGAGGCCAAGATGGCGGCGGGCAGCGGGTGTTGCTTGCGGCCTTTCTCTTGCGAGCTGGGGCTCCTGTCGCGACCCGACGGCTCCGCCGCCTTCCTGCAGGGTACGGGGGGAACCCCAACGTAAACGGCGGCGGCTATCGCGATACGCGGCAGTCGCGAGCCGGGGGGGGGGGGGGATATCGCGATAGAAGGGCTCATCGCGACGCGTTCCCTCCCCGCAGGCGATACCTCCGTGCTGGCCGCACTTTACGGCCCCGCCGAGGCCAAAGGGAACCGGGAGCTGCCGGAGCGGGTGGCGCTGGAGGTGCTGCTGCGGCCTAAAGTGGGGCTGCCGGGTAGGGGCCGGGGTCCGGGGCTGCCCCATAGAGGGGGCACTTATGGGGGGGGTCTGCCCCATAGAGGGGTCTTTGGAAGGGGGGCTTCCCCCCATAGAGGGGTCACTTATGGGGGGGTCTGCCCCATAGAGGGGTCACTTATGGGGGGTCTGCCCCATAGAGGGGTCTTTGGAAGAGGGGGGTTCCCCCCATAGAGGGGTCACTTATGGGGGGGTCTGCCCCATAGAAGGGTCTTTGGAAGGGGGGGGGGGGTCTGCCCCATAGAGGGGTCTTTGGAAGGGGGGGTTCCCCCCATAGAGGGGTCACTTATGGGGGGGTCTAGCCCCATAGAGGGCTCACTTATGGGGGGTCTGCCCCATAGAGGGGTCTTTGGAAGGGGGGGTTCCCCCCATAGAGGGGTCACTTATGGGGGGGTCTGCCCCACAGAGGGGTCACTTATGGGGGGGTCTGGCCCCATAGAGGGGGCACTTATGGGGGGGTCTGGCCCCATAGAGGGGTCACTTATGGGGGGGTCTGCCCCATAGAGGGGTCTTTGGAAGGGGGGGGTTCCCCCCATAGAGGAGTCACTTATGGGGGGGTCTGCCCCATAGAAGGGTCTTTGGAAGGGGGGGGTCTGCCCCATAGAGGGGTCTTTGGAAGGGCGGGTTCCCCCCATAGAGGGGTCACTTATGGGGGGGTCTAGCCCCATAGAGGGGTCACTTATGGGGGGTCTGCCCCATAGAGGGGCTTTGGAAGGGGGTGTCTCCCCCATAGAGAAGCCTTTGGAAGGGGGGGTTACCCCCATAGACGGGTCACTTATGGGGGGGGTCTGCCCCATTGAGGTGTCACTTATGGGGGGGGTCTGCCCCATAGAGGGGTCACTTATGGGGGGTCTGCCCCATAGAATGGCCTTTGGAAGGGGGGGTTCCCCCCATAGAGAATCCTTTGGAAGGAGGGGTTCCCCCATAGAGGGACCACTTATGGGGGGGGTTCCCCATAGAGCAGCCTTTGGAAGGGGGGGCTCCCCCCATAGATCTCCCTTTGGGGTCCCCTCATGGAGCTCCCCCCATAGCGCCCCCTTTGAGTTCCCCCCATAGCGCCCCCTTTGTGCCCCCCCCATAGCGCCCCCTTTGTGCCCCCCCCATAGCGCCCCTTTTGTTCTCCCCCCATAGCGCCCCCTTTGACCTCCCCCCATAGAGCTCCCTTTTGGGTTCAACCCATAGAGGGGTCACTTATGGGGGGGTTTCCCCCATTGCGCCCCCTTTGTGCTCCCCCCATAGCGCCCCCTTTGTTCTCCCCCCATAGCGCCCCCTTTGTTCTCCCCCCATAGCGCCCCCTTTGACCTCCCCCCATAGAGCTCCCTTTTGGGTTCCCCCCATAGAGGGGTCACTTATGGGGGGGTTCCCCCCATAGCGCCCCCTTTGCGCTCCCCGCCCCATTGCAGGTGTGGGGGAGCGCAGCCGGGAGCAGCTCCTGCGCCGCACGCTTGAGGCCGTGCTCCTGGGGCGCCTGCACCCCCGCTGCGGGCTCAGCCTCAGCCTCCAGGTGCTCAGGGACGGCGGCTCCGTATCCGGGGGGGGGGAAATGGGGGGGAATGGGGGAGGGGAAATGGGGGGGAGGGGGGGAAAGGGGGGTTTGGGGGGTGGAAAATGGGGTTGGAGGGGAAGGGGGGGGAAGGGGGTTGGGGGGGAAATGGGGGGGAGGGGGGGAGGGGGTTTTGGGGGGGGAAATGGGGGGGAGGGGGGGAAATGGGGGGGAAAAGGGGGTTGGGGGGAAATGGGGGGGAGGGGGGGTTTGGGGGGGGAAAATGGGGTTGGAGGGGAAGGGGGGGCAGGGGTTCGGGGGGGAAAGGGGGGGAGGGGTTTTGGGGGGGAAATGGGGGGGAAAAGGGGTTTGGGGGGGAGGGGGGGAAATGGGGGGGAAGGGGGTTTGGGGGGGAAAGGGGAGAGGGGGGAGGGGGTTTGGGGGCGAAATGGGGGAAGGGGGTTTGGGGGGAAATGGGGAGGTTTGGGGGGGAAAGGGGGTTCTGGGGGGTGGGAAGGGGGGGTGGGGGGGAAAGGGGGTTCTGGGGGGGAAATGGGGGGGATGGGGGCGAAGGGGGGGAAATGGGGAGTTTTGTGGGGGAAAGGGGGTTCTGAGGGGGGAAATGGGGGAGAAAGGGGCTTGGGGGGGAAATGGGGGGGAGGGTGAGGGGAAATGGGGGGGAAAGGGGGTTGGGGTGGGAAATGGGGAGGAAGGGGTTTGGGGGGAAAATTGGGGGGAAATGGGGGGGGAGGGGGGGGAAGGGGGTTTAGGGGTGGAAAATGGGGTTGGAGGGGAAGGGGGAAAAGGGGTTGGGGGGGAAATGGGGGGAAATGGTGGGGGATGGGGGGAAATGGGGGGGAAGGGGTTTGGGGGGAAAGGGGGAAGGAGGGGGAAATGGGGGGAGAGGGTGGGGGGGAAAGGGTTTTGGGGGGAAAGGGGGTTTAGGGGGTGGAAAATGGGTTGGAGGGGAAGGGGGGAAGGGGGTTCTGGGGGGGAAATGGGGGGGAGGGGGGTTGGGGGGGGTAATGGGGGGGAAGGGGGTTTGGGGGGTGGGAAGGGGTGGGGGGAAGGGGAAATGGGGGGGAAAGGAGGGGAAGGGGGGGTTTGGGGGCTGGGAAGGAGGTTTAGGGGGTGGGAAATGCAGGGGGGAAGGGGAGTTCTGGGGGGAAAAGGGGGGGTAAGGGGAGGTTTGGGGGGGAAGGGGGGGTGGGGGAAAGGGGGGTTCTGGGAGGGGAAAGGGGGTTTTGGGGTGGGAAATGGGGGGGTTCGGGATGGAAAGGGGGGATTTGGGATGGAAAAAGCGGGGTTTGGGTAGAAAATGGGGATAGAAGAGGATTTTTGGGGTGCAAAAGCGGGGTTTTAGGGTACAAAGTGCTGGTTTGGGTCGGGAAAACAGATTTAGAGGGGGGAAATGCCTATTTTGGGGTGAAAAAGCAGGGTTTTAGGGTAGAAAATGCTGGTTTGGGGCAGGAAAACAGGATTTAGAGAGGGGGAAATGCCTATTTTGGGGTGAAAAAGGGGGAATTTGGGATGGAGAAAGCGGGGTTTTAGGGTAGAAAATGGGTTGGGGATTGAAAGTGGGGATTTTGGGGTGAAAAAGGGGGAATTTGGGATGGAGAAAGCGGGGTTTTAGGGTAGAAAATGGGTTGGGGATTGAAAGTGGGGATTTTGGGGTGAAAAAGGGGGATTTGGGATGGAAAAAGCGGGGTTTTAGGTAGAAAATGGGGATTGAAGAGGATTTTTGGGGTGCAAAAGCGGGGTTTTAGGGTACAAAGTGCTGGTTTGGGGCAGGAAAACAGGATTTAGAGAGGGGGAAATGCCTATTTTGGGGTGAAAAAGGGGGAATTTGGGATGGAGAAAGTGGGGTTTTAGGGTAGAAAATGGGTTGGGGATTGAATGTGGGGATTTTGGGGTGAAAAAGGGGGATTTGGGATGGAAAAAGCGGGGTTTTAGGGTAGAAAATGGGTTGGGGATTGAAAGTGGGGATTTTGGGGTGAAAAAGGGGGGATTTGGGATGGAAAAAGCGGGGTTTTAGGTAGAAAATGGGGATTGAAGAGGATTTTTGGGGTGAAAAAGCGGGGTTTTAGGGTACAAAGTGCTGGTTTGGGGCAGGAAAACAGGATTTAGAGAGGGGGAAATGCCTATTTTGGGGTGAAAAAGGGGGAATTTGGGATGGAGAAAGCGGGGTTTTAGGTAGAAAATGGGGATTGAAGAGGATTTTTTGGGTGAAAAAGCAGGGTTTTAGGGTAGAAAATGCTGGTTTGGGGGAGGAAAACAGGATTTAGAGAGGGGGAAATGCCTATTTTGGGGTGAAAAAGGGGGAATTTGGGATGGAGAAAGTGGGGTTTTAGGGTAGAAAATGGGTTGGGGATTGAAAGTGGGGATTTTGGGGTGAAAAAGGGGGGATTTGGGATGGAAAAAGCGGGGTTTTAGGTAGAAAATGGGGATTGAAGAGGATTTTTGGGGTGAAAAAGCGGGACTTTAGGGTACAAAGTGCTGTTTGGGGCAGGAAAACCGGATTTAGAGAGGGGAAAATGCCTATTTTGGGGTGAAAAAGGGGGAATTTGGAATGGAGAAAGTGGGGTTTTAGGGTAGAAAATGGGTTGGGGATTGAAAGTGGGGATTTTGGGGTGAAAAAGGGGGGATTTGGGATGGAAAAAGCGGGGTTTTAGGTAGAAAATGGGGATTGAAGAGGATTTTTGGGGTGAAAAAGCGGGACTTTAGGGTACAAAGTGCTGGTTTGGGGCAGGAAAACCGGATTTAGAGAGGGGGAAATGCCTATTTTGGGGTGAAAAAGGGGGAATTTGGGATGGAAAAAGCGGGGTTTTAGGTAGAAAATGGGGATTGAAGAAGATTTTTGGGGTGAAAAAGCGGGGTTTTAGGGTACAAAGTGCTGGTTTGGGGCAGGAAAACCGGATTTAGAGAGGGGAAAATGCCTATTTTGGGGTGAAAAAGAGGGAATGTGGGATGGAGAAAGCGGGGTTTTAGGTAGAAAATGGGGATTGAAGAGGATTTTTGGGGTGAAAAAGCGGGGTTTTAGGGTAGAAAATGCTGGTTTGGGGGAGGAAAACAGGATTTAGAGAGGGGAAAATGCCTATTTTGGGGTGAAAAAGGGGGAATTTCCTTAACCCCCCCCAAGCTGCTCTCGTGCTGCCTCAACGCCGCCTGCATGGGGCTGCTGGACGCGGGGCTGCCCTTGGCCTCCCTGTTCTGCGGCGTCGCCTGCGCCCTGCTCCCCGATGGCTCCCTCGTGCTGGACCCCAGCAGCCAGCAGGAGAAGGTGGGTGCTCCCCACCCCCACCCAATCCCATTGGACCCCCTCCCCCCCACCCCATAACCCTCTTAACCCCCCCCCCCCCCATTTCCATCGCAGGAGGCTCGCGCCGTCCTCACCTTCGCCATCGACAGCGCCGAGAAGAAGGTGCTCATGGCCAGCACCAAAGGGAGCTGCTCCATGGAGGAGGTGAGCGTTATGGGGTGCTATGGGTGCTATGGGTGGCGTAGCACCCATCGCAACACCCCCTTTGTCTCCCCCCCCCCACCACCTTTTAGATGCAGCAGTGCATCGCTGCAGCCCAGAGCGCCGCCGACACCATCTTCCAGTTCTATCGCGATTCCATCCGGAGGAGGTATTCCAAGTCGTGACATGGAATTGCCCCCACACCCCCCCCCCATAGGGGCAGCTGGACTGACCCCCCTGGGGCTTGTGACCCCTTCACATGTAGTAAAGGAACCCCCCCCCTCGCCCCACACAGTGGCTTTGAGTGCATCCGTTGATGTGGACGGGGTCTGGGGGTCGTGGTGGGGCATCCAAGATGGCGGCGCCCATGTGCTGTACACTGCGTAGCCTCTGGGGCAGCCAAGATGGCGGCGCCCATGTGCCGTACGCAAAGATGGCGGCCCCTAAGTGCCTTACGCTGCTTAGATACCGGTGCATCCAAGATGGCGGCGCCCATGTGCCGTACGCAAAGATGGCGGCCCCGAAGTGCCTTACGCTGCTTAGATACCGGTGCATCCAAGATGGCGGCGCCCATGTGCCGTACGCAAAGATGGCAGCGCACAAGATGCTGTACAGTGCTATTGGTGGTGCATCCAAGATGGCGGCGCCCATGTGCCGTACGCAAAGATGGCGGCGCCCAAGACGCTGTACAGTACTATTGGTGGTACATCCAAGATGGCGGCGCCCATGTGCTGTGCAATGCTTAAGGTACTGGTGCATCCAATATGGCGGCTCCCAAGATGCCGTACAGCATTGAGTATTGGTGGGACATGCAAGATGGCGGCTCTCATGTGCCGTACACAAAGATGGCAGCGCCCAAGATGCCGTACAGCACTGCTTTGCTGCTGGTGCTTCCAATATGGTGGTGCTCTTGTGCCGTACAGCAGTGCTTGGGTGCGGGTGTATCCAAGATGGCGGCCTCCATGGTGTCATATGGCCCTCCCTAGATGATGTTACGCCTAATATGGCCACCCCCAAGTGCCGTATGTTCAAGATGGCGGCGCCCATGTGCCGTACAGCACTGCTTAGGTGCTGGTGCATCCAAGATGGCGGCGCCCATGTGCCGTACAGCACTGCTTAGGTGCTGGTGTGTCCAAGATGGTGGCCTCCATGGTGGCATGCGGCCCTCCCTAGATGCCTGTCCTCCTGATATGGCGGCCCCCAAGTGCCGTACACCAAGATGGCGGCGCCCATGTGCCGTACAGCACTGCTTAGGTGCTGGTGCATCCAAGATGGCGGCGCCCATGTGCCGTACACATAAATGGCGGCGCCCAAGAAGCATTCAGCATTAGTGGTGTATCCAAGATGGCGGCGCCCATGTGCCGTACAGCACTGCTTAGGTGCTGGTGTATCCAAGATGGCGGCCTCCATGGTGGCATGCTTCCCTCCCTAGATGCCTGTCCTCCTGATATGACGGCCCCCAAGTGCCGTACACCAAGATGGCGGCGCCCACGGTGCCGTACAGATGCTGGTCCATCCAAGATGGCGGCGCCCATCTTGCCGCTTCAGCGCATGTTCTCTCAAGGAGCCGTCACCCTTCCTGGGCGGGGCTTGCGGTGGCGCCAGCCAATGGGGTGGCGGCGTTAGCACGGCGAGCGCGTTGCCACGGCAACGCGCACCGGAAGTGCGTGTGCGCAGAGGCAGGTCGTGGTCCGCAGCGCCGGGCACTGGAGGTGGGGGCAATGGGGCAGCATTGGGGCAGCAATGGGGACAATGGGGGTGCAATGGGGCTGCAATGGGGCAGCAATGGGGCTGCAATGGGGCTGCAATGGGTGCCCATGGGGCGGCAATGGGGGTAATGGGGCAGCAATGGGGCTGCAATGGGTGCCTATGGGGCGGCAATGGGGGGTAATGGGGCTGCAATGGGTGCCCATGCGGCGGCAATGGGGGGCAATGGGGCAGCAATGGGTGCCCATGGGGTGGCAATGGGGCAGCAATGGGGCTGCGATGGGGCTTCAATGGGTGCCCATGGGGCGGTAATGGGGGGCAATGGGGCAGCAATGGGGACAATGGGGGTGCAATGGGGCTGCAATGGGGCAGCAATGGGTGCCCATGGGGCAGCAATGGGGCAGCAATGGGGCTGCAATGGGTGCCCATGGGGCGGCAATGGGGGGCAATGGGGCAGCAATGGGGCTGCGGTGGGGCTTCAATGGGTGCCCATGGGGCGGTAATGGGGGGCAATGGGGCGGCAATGGGGTGCAATGGGGCAGCAATGGGGCTGCAATGGGGCTTCAATGGGTGTCCATGGGGCGGCAATGGGGGGTAATGGGGCAGCAATGGGGCTGCAATGGGTGCCCATGGGACGGCAATGGGGGAAATGGGGCAGCAATGGGGGGCAATGGGGCAGCAATGGGACTGCAATGGGAGTCCATGGGGCGGCAATGGGGGCTAATGGGGGGCAATGAGGCTGCAATGGGGGAAATGGGGACAATGGGGTGGCAATGGGGGGACAATGGGGCTGCATTGGGGTTGCAATGGGGGTGCTATGGGGCTGCAATGGGGGGCAATGGGGACAATGGGGGGGCAATGGGGCAGAAATGGGGGTGAATGGGGTGGCAATGGGGGGCAATGGGGCAGCAATGGGGGGCAATGGGGCAGCAATGGGGCTGCAATGGGAGCCCATGGGGCGGCAATGTGGGGCAATGGGGCAGCAATGGGGGCTAATGGGGGGCAATTGGGCTGCAATGGGGGAAATGGGGACAGAGGGGTGGCAATGGGGGGACAATGGGGCTGCATTGGGGTTGCAATGGGCGTGCTATGGGGCTGCAATGGGGGGCAATGGGGACAATGTGGGGGCAATGGGGGGCAATGGGGCAGAAAGGGGGGTGAATGGGGGGCAATGGGGGTGCAATGGGGGTGAATGGGGGTGCAGTGGGGGGGGCACTGAGCGTCTCCTCCCCCATTGCCCCCCACAGCCCCCCCATGGCGGAGCTGCACCTCCTGGGGCAGATTGTGGGGGGCAGCGGCTTCCCCCAGCGCCGCCTCTTCTGCAAGTGGGGGCTGCAGGCGGGTGAGTGGGGCCCATAGAGACCCATAGGGACCCATGGAGACCCCATAGAGACCCATAGAAACCCCATAGAGACCTCATAGAGTCCCATAGGGACCCATAGAAACCCCATAGAGCCCCATTCATCCCCCATAGAGCCCTATAGAGCCCCTTAGAGCCCCATAGAGCTCCCACAGAGCCCCTTAGAGCCCCATAGAACCCCATAGAGCCCCCATAGATCCCCACAGAGCCCCCATAGATCCCCACAGATCCCCACAGATCCCCATAGAGCCCCCACAGATCCCCACAGAGCCCCATAGATCCCCATAGAGCCCCTATACAGCCCCATAGATCCCTATAGAGCCCCCCTAGATCCCCACAGAGCCCCATAGATCCCCACAAAGCCCACATAGAGCCCCCATAGATCCCCATAGAGCCCCTATACAGCCCCCATAGATCCCCACAGAGCCCCCATAGATCCCCACAAAGCCCCCATAGGTCCCCATAGAGCCCCCACAGAGCCCCATAGATCCCCATACAGCCCCTATAGAGCCCCATAGATCCCCACAGAGCCCCCATAGATCCCCACAGAGCCCCATAGGTCCCCACAGAGCCCCAGAGATCCCCACAAAGCCCCCATAGATCCCCATAGAGCCCCTATAGAGCCCCATAGATCCCCACAGAGCCCCCATAGATCCCCACAGAGCCCCATAGGTCCCCACAGAGCCCCATAGATCCCCACAAAGCCCCCAAAGATCCCCCATAGAGCCCCCATAGATCCCCATAGAGCCCCTATACAGCCCCATAGAGCCCTCATAGATCCCCACAGAGCCCCATACATTCCATACATCCCCACAAAGCCCCCCTAGATCCCCCATAGAGCCCCACAAATCCCCATAGAGCCCTCATAGATCCCCACAGAGCCCCCATAGAGCCCCATAGATCCCCACAGAGCCCCATAGATCCCCACAGAGCCCCAGAGATCCCCACAGAGCCCCATAGAGCCCCATAGATCCCCACAGAGCCCCATAGATCCCCATAGAGCCCCCCCCCACCAGCGGCCCTCTCGCGCAGGCGCCGCCTGGCGGCCGCTCTCGGGACTGACGTCAGGCCGGACGCACGTCGATGACCCGCAGGCCGGTGACGTCACTTACTGGAGCCACCCCATCGACGTGCACTACGCCACCAAAGGCCTGCAGGGTGCGTTCGCGTGTCCTTAGCGTGTCCTTAGCGTGTCCTTAGCATGTCCTTAGTGTGTCCTTAGCATGTCCTTAGTGTGTCCTTGGCATATCCTTAGTGTGTCCTAAGCGTGTCCTTAGCGCGTCCTTGGCATGTCCTAAGCATGTCCTTAGCATGTCAGCGTGTCCTTAGCGTGTCAGCATGTCCTTAGCGTGTCCTTAGCACGTCCTTAGTGTGTCCTTAGCATGTCCTAAGCGTATCCTTAGCATGCCCTTAGCGTGTCCTAAGCGTATCCTTAGCATGCCCTTAGCGTGTCCTTAGCTTGTCTTAAGCATGTCCTTGGCATGTCCTAAGCATGTCTGTAGTGTCCTTAGCATGTCCTTATCGTGTCCTTAGCGTGTCCTTAGCATGCCCTTAGCGTGTCCTAAGCGTATCCTTAGCATGCCCTTAGCGTGTCCTTAGCATGTCTTAAGCATGTCTGTAGTGTGTCCTTAGCGTGTCCTTAGCATGTCCTAAGTGTGTGCCATGTGCGCAGGGTGGCCGCGGCTCCACGTGGAGGTGTGGCAGCAGGACGGCCTAGGCCGCTGCGACGTGATTGGCTACGGCTCGTGTCACGTGCCCTCGGCGCCGGGCCTGCACTCGGTGCGCTGCGTCACGTGGCGCCCCCTAGCGGGCTGGCGGGAGCGCGCGCGGCGGCGCTGGGTCGGGGGCGGGGCCAGGCTCGCGCAGGCGCAGGAGGGGGCGGTGGGGGGAGCGGGGGCGGGGGAGCGCTTCCGGTTGAGGAGCGAGGCGGGCGGAAGCGTCCATTTGGAGCTGGGGGTGGTGCTGAGGCACTTCCGGCGCTTCGGGGTGCAGTGCGCATGAGCAGAAGGGGGGGGAGTTTCCCCCACCCCCCCCCCCGGGAGGTGCAGTTGGTACGGCCCGGGGAAGGGCAACGGGGTTCCACGGGGGGGGAGTGCAGGGGTGGAAGGGGGCAATGGGGGGAATGGGGGTGTAAAGGGGGTCTATGGGGATTGTAATGGGGTTCAGTGGGGGGGTTATGGGGTTCTATGGGGGGGAATGGGGATCTATGGGGGGAATGGGGATCTATAGGGGGTGTAAAGGGGGTCTATGGGGGGTTATGGGGGCTGTAATGGGGGTAATGGGGTTCTATGGGGGTGTAAAGGGGGCCTATGGGGGTGTAATGGGGGTCTATGGGGGTGTAAAGGGGGTCTATGGGGGTGTAATGGGGCCTATGGGGGGTGTAATGGGGTTCTATGGGGGTGTAAAGGGGGTCTATGGGGGTGTAAAGGGGGTCTATGGGGGTCTATGGGGGGGAATGGGGATCTATAGGGGGTGTAAAGGGGGTCTATGGGGGTGTAAAGGGGGTCTATGGGGGGGAATGGGGGTCTATGGGGGGGAATGGGGATCTATAGGGGGTGTAAAGGGGGTCTATGGGGGTGTAATGGGGTTCTATGGGGGGGAATGGGGATCTATGGGGGTGTAAAGGGGTTCTATGGGGGGACACCTGTAAAGGGGGTCTATGGGGGGGAATGGGGATTTATGGGGGGGTAATAGGGGATGTAATTGGGGTCTATGGGGGTGTAAAAGGGGTCTATGGCGGGTAATGGGGGGTGTAATGGGGTTCTATGGGGGTGTAAAGGGGATCTGTGGGGGGTTATGGGGGGTAATGGGGGGTGTAATGGGGTCTATAGGGGTGTAAAGGGAGTCTGGGGGGTTATGGGGGTGTAATGGGGTTCTATGGGGGAGTAAAGGGGGTCTATAGGGGGCAGTGGGGTTCTATGGGGGTCAGTGGGGGGAATGGGGTTTTATAGGGGGGAAATGAGGTCCTATAGGGTTGTAACGGGGGTCTGTGGGGGTCAATGGAGGGGGAATGGGGTTCTATGGGGGTGTAATGGGGTTCTATAGGGGGAGAATAGGGTTTTATGGGGGGCAGTGGGGTTCTATAGGTGGCAATGGGGGTCTATAGGGGGCAGTGGAGTTCAATAGAGGGGTAATGGGGTTCTATAGGGGTGGGAGGGGGCAATGGGGTCCTATAGAGGGATAATGGGGTTTTATAGGGGTGAAATGGGATAGTGGGGTTCTATGGGGTGCAATGGGGTTCTATGGGGCAGGAGGGGGCATTGAGGCTCTATAGGGGTGCAATGGAGTTCTATGGGGCGGGAGGGAGCATTGGGGTTCTATGGGGTGCAATGGGGTTCTATGGGGCGGGAGGGAGCATTGGGGTTCTATGGGGTGCAATGGGGTTCTATGGGGCAGGAGGGGGCATTGAGGTTCTATAGGGGTGCAATGGAGTTCTATGGGGCGGGAGGGAGCATTGGGGTTCTATGGGGTGCAATGGCGTTCTATGGGGTGCAGTGGCGTTCTATGGGGTGGGAGGGGACATTGAGGTTCTATAGGGGTGCAATGGAGTTCTATGGGGCGGGAGGGAGCACTGGGGTTCTATGGGGTGGGAGGGAGCACTGGGGTTCTATGGGGTGCAATGGAGTTCTATGGGGCAGGAGGGAGCATTGGGGTTCTATGGGGTTCTATGGGGCGGGAGGGAGCACTGGGGTTCTATGGGGCGCACTGAGGTCCATAGGGCTGCAATTGCCCCCCCATGTACCCCATAAAGCTCCTTCCACCCCCCCCCATCCGCGTTGGTTTCATCCGGGGGGGGGGGGGGGCGGAAACGTCCCAGACACGGGGGTGGGGGGAGGGGTGGGGGGGGTCCCGTTTCCTTCCCCTCCCCCCCCCCCCCGTGACTCAGTTTCGCCGCCTCCAACGGAGCGGAAAAAGGGGGGGGGGAGGGGGGAGGGGGCCTTTAACCCCCCCCCCCAAAACGCTTTAAACCCCCCCTCCCCCCCCGTTTCCTGGGTGGGGCCGCCCCGGGTGCGTTTTAAACGGGTCGGGAGGGAGCGAAACGGGAACTGAGCGCGGGGGAGGGGCGGCGGTGGCGGCTCCCAACGCTGCGAACGCTTCAGATAGGGGGAAAGGGGGGGGGGGGGGGAAGAGGGGAGCGTTTGGGACAGCTTGGAACCGTTTAGAAGCGTTTGAGACCGTTTGAAACCATTTGGGACCGTTTGAGACCGTTTGGGACCGTTTGAAACCATTTGGGACCGTTTGAAACCATTTGGGACCGCTTGCAAGCGTTTGGGAGCATTTGGGACCGTTTGGAACTGTTCGGGACTGTTTGCAAACGTTTGGATCCATTGGGGAGCGTTGATAAGCGTCTGGATCCGCTTTGGGACCGTTTAGAAGCGTTTGGATCTATTTGGGACCGTTTAGAAGCGTTTGGATCCGGTTGGGAGTGTTTGGAACCGTTCGGAGCCGCTTGGATCCGCTTTGGGACCGTTTAGAAGCGTTTGGATCCGTTTGAGAGCGTTTAAAACCCTTCGGAGCCGCTTGGAAGCGTGTGGACCCGTTCGTTACCGCTTGGATTCGCTTCGGAAGCGTTTGGATCCATTTGGGAGCGTTTAGGACCGCTCGGAGGCGTTCGGACCCGTTCGGAACCGCTCAAAACAGCTCGGAAGCGCTCGGGATCGTTCAGAACCGTTCGAAAGCCGCTCGGGACCGTTCGGAACCGCTCGGACCCGTTCGGAAGCCGCTCGGACCCGTTCGGAAGCCGCTCGGACCCGTTCAGAAACGCTCGGAAGCCGCTCGGGACCGTTCAGAACCGTTCAAAGCCGCTCGGACCCGCTCGGAACCGTTGAGAGCCGCTTGGAACCGTTCGGAACCGCTCGGACCCGTTCGGAAACCTCTCGGACCCTTTCGAAGCCGCTCGGATCCGTTCGGAACCCTTCAGAGGCGCTCGGGACCGTTCAGAACCGTTCAAAGCCGCTCAGAACCGCTCGGACTCTTTCGGGACCCGCTCGGAACCCTTCGGACCCCTTCGGAGGCGCTCGGGACCGTTCGGACCCGTTCGGACCCGTTCGGAACCGTTCGGACCCCTTCGGAGGCGCTCGGGACCGTTCAGAACCGTTCGGACCCCATCGGAACCCTTCGGAACCGCTCGGAACCCTTCGGACGCGCTCGGGACCGTTCAGAACCGTTCGGAACCCTTCGGAACCGCTCGGACCCGTTCGGACCCGTTCGGAGGCGCTCGGGGATGGAGCTGGCGCTGGTGCTGGCGCTGGCGCTGGGCGCGGCGCGCGCGCTCTCCACGTGCCGCTCGCTGGACCTGGAGGCCGCGCGCCGGAAGCGAATCGAGGCCGTGCGGGGCCAGATCCTGAGCAAACTGCGCATGAGCGCCCCTCCCCCACCCCCCTCCCCCTCCCCCCCCTCCTCCTCCTCCCCCCCCACCCCCCCCCGTCGGAGCCGTCGCTGCCTGATGACGTCCGCGCGCTCTACAACAGCACGTGGGAGCTGCTGCAGCAGCAGCAGAGGGAGAGGTGGGCGCCCCCTGCCGGCCCGGAGGACTACTACGCCAAGGAGCTGCATCGCTTCCCTATGGAGCCCCCGGGAGACGGTGAGAGGGGCATCGCTATGGGGGGGGTCCCCATGGGTGTCCCTATGGGCATCCAATGGGTGTTCCAATGGGTGTCCCAGTGGGCATCCGTATGGGCATCCTATGGGTACCACAATGGGTGTCCCTATGGGCATCTTGTGGGCGTCCCTATGGGCATCCCAATGGGCATCCGATGGGTGTCCTAATGGGCATCCTATGGGTGTCCCTATGAGCATCCCAATGGGCATCCAATGGGTGTTCCAATGGGTGTCCCAGTGGGCATCCGTATGGGCATCCTATGGGTACCACAATGGGTGTCCCTATGGGCATCTTGTGGGCGTCCCTATGGGCATCCGATGGGTGTTCCAATGGGCATCCTATGGGTGTCCCTATAGGCATCCCAATGGGCATCCAATGGGTGTTCCAATGGGTGTCCCAGTGGGCATCCGTATGGGCATCCTATGGGTACCACAATGGGTGTCCCTATGGGCATCTTGTGGGCGTCCCTATGGGCATCCGATGGGTGTTCCAATGGGCTTCCTATGGGTGTCCCTATAGGCATCCTATGGGTGTCCCTATGGGCATCCTATGGGTGTTCCAATGGGTGTCCCTATGGGTGTCCCTATGGGCATCCTATGGGTGTTCCAATGGGTGTCCCTATGGGTGTCCCTATGGGCATCCTATGGGTGTTCCAATGGGTGTCCCTATGGGTACCACAGTGGGTGTCCCTATAGGCATCCTATGGGTGTTCCAATGGGTGTCCCAATGGGCATCCTATGGGTGTTCCAATGGGTGTCCCTGTGGGCATCCTATGGGTGTTCTAATGAGTGTCCCTATGGCATTTTGTGGGTACCACAATGGGTGTCCCTATGGGCATCTTGTGGGCATCCCTATGGGCATCCTATAGGTGTTCCAATGGGCATCCTATGGGTGTCCCTATGAGCATCCCAATGGGCATCCTATGGGTGTTCCAATGGGTGTCCCTATGGGTACCACAATGGGTGTCCCTATGGGCATCCTATGGGTACCACAATGGGTGTCCCAATGGGCATCCTATGGGTATCCCAATGGGCATCCTATGGGTGTTCCAATGGGTGTCCCTATGGGTACCACAATGGGTGTCCCTATGGGCATCCTATGGGTACCACAATGGGTGTCCCAATGGGCATCCTATGGGTGTCCCTGTGGGCATCCCAATGGGCATCCTATGGGAACCACAATGGGTGTCCCTATGGACATCCTATGAGTGTTCCAATGGGTGTCCCTATGGGTATCACAATGGGTGTCCCTATGGGCATCCTATGGGTACCACAATGGATGTCCCTGTGGGCATCCCAATAGGCATCCTATGGGTGTTGCAATGGGTGTCCCAATGGGCATCCTATGGGTACCACTATGGGTGTCCCTATGGGCATCCCAATGGACATCCAATGGGTGCCCCTATGGGCGTCCTATGGGTACCACAATGGGTGTCCCTGTGGGTATCCTATGGGTACCACTATGGGTGTCCCTATGGGCATCCCTATAGGCATCCAGTGAGCTTCACTATGGGTACCACTTATGGGCACCCCAATGGGCACCTCAATGGGTGTTCCTATGGGTGTCTCTATGGGCATCGCTGTAGGCACCCCTATGGGCACCCCAATGGGGCGTCCTATGGGCACCCCAATGGGGCATCCCTATGGGGTATCCCTATGGGCACCCTTATGGACACCCCAATGGGTGTCCCTATGAGCATCCCTATGGGCACCCCAATGGGGCATCCCTATGGGGTATCCCTATGGGCACCCTTATGGACACCCCAATGGGTGTCCCTATGAGCATCCCTATGGGCACCCCAATGGGTGTCCCTATGAGCATCCCTATGGGCACCCCAATGGGTGTCCCTATGGGGCATCCCTATGGGCACCCCAATGAGTGTCCCTATGGGGCACCCCTGTGGACACCCCTATGGGTTGCAGCACCCATGGCAGCACTGCTTGGGGGGGGGAGGGGGTAGGTTATGGGTGCTCAATGGGGTTTAGGGGTGCTCAATGTGGGGGGAGCACATCCCCGGCCCCCTCCCCCCCCCATGTTCCTCCTTTCCCCACATATCCGGATGTTGAGGTTTGCTGAGTAATTCCCGGCTCTGGGGGCCCTTCCTGGGGCTGCAGGGGGGCAGAGAGGGGGTGCTATGGGGCGCTGTGGGTCCCTATGAGTCCTTATGGGTCTCTATGGGTCTTTCTGGTGTCTGTGGATCCCTATGGGTAGCTATAGGTTTCTATGGGTCCCTAGGAGTCCCTATGGGTTGCTATCGGTCCTTATGGGTCCCTATGGGGTTGTTAATGGCTTTCTGTGGGGCCCTATGGTTTCTATGGGTACCTATGGTCCCTGTAGGTCTCTATGGGTCTCTGTGGATCCCTATGGTTTCTGTGGGTCTCTGTGGTATCGATGGGTCCCTATAGGTCTCTGTGGGGTCTCTATGAGGTCACTATGTGTCTCTGTGGGGTCTCTATGGGGTCTCTGTGTCCCTATGGGGTCCCTATGAATCCCTATGGGGTCCTTGTGTGTCTCTATGTGACTCTGTGGGATCTCTATAAGTCCCTATAGGGTTTCTATGGGTCTGTATGGGGTCTCTGTGGGTGTCTGTTTGTCTCTATGGGTCTCTATGGGGTCTCTGTCGGTCTCTGTGGGATCTCTGTAGGTCTCTATGGGTGTCTGTGTGCCTCTATGGGTCTCTCTGGTTCCCTATGGGTCCTTATGGGTCTCTATGGGGTCTCTGTGTGTCTCTATGGGTCTCTATGGGGTCTTTATGGGTCCCAATGGGGTCTCTATGGGTCCCTATGGGGTCTCTATGTGTCCCTATGGGTCCCAATGGGGTCTCTATGGGTCCCTATGGGTCCCAACGTCTTCCCCCCCCCCCCCCCGCAGGCTCCGCCCCCCCCGGCCGCCCCCTCCTGCTGCGCTTCAACGCCTCGCGCGTGCGCGAAGAGCTGGGCCGGGGGGCGCTGCTGCACCGCGCCGAACTGCGCATGCTCCGCCAGAGGGCGCCCGAGGGCGGCGACCAACAGCGCCTGGAGCTCTATCAGGTACCCCCCCCTCTATGGGCAATGGAACAGTCCTGGGGATGGGAACCCCCCCATTATGGTCAATGGAACAGTCCTGGGTATGGGAACCCCCCCTCTATGGGCAATGGAACAGTCCTGGGTATGGGAACCCCCCCTCTATGGGCAATGGAACAGTCCTGGGGATGGGAACCCCCCCTCTATAGGCAATGGAACAGTCCTGGGTATGGGAGCCCCCCCTCTATGGGCAATGGAACAGTCCTGGGGATGGGAACCCCCCCTCTATGGGCAATGGAACAGTCCTGGGGATGGGAACCCCCCCTCTATGGGCAATGGAACAGTCCTGGGTATGGGAACCCCCCCTCTATGGGCAATGGAACAGTCCTGGGTATGGGAACCCCCCCTCTATGGGCAATGGAACAGTCCTGGGGGTGGGAACCCCCCCTCGATGGGCAATGGAACAGTCCTGGGTATGGGAACCCCCCCTCTATGGGAAATGGAACAGTCCTGGGTATGGGAACCCCCCCTCTATGGGCAATGGAACAGTCCTGGGGATGGGAACCCCCCCCTCTATGGGCAATGGAACAGTCCTGGGGATGGGAACCCCCCCCTCTATGGGCAATGGAACAGTCCTGGGGAATGGGAACCCCCCTCTATGGGCAATGGAACAGTCCTGGGTATGGGAACCCCCCCCTCTATGGGCAATGGAACAGTCCTGGGGATGGGAACCCCCCCCTCTATGGGCAATGGAACAGTCCTGGGTATGGGAACCCCCCCTCTATGGGCAATGGAACAGTCCTGGGGGTGGGAACCCCCCCTCTATGGGCAATGGAACAGTCCTGGGTATGGGAACCCCCCCTCTATGGGAAATGGAACAGTCCTGGGTATGGGAACCCCCCCTCTATGGGCAATGGAACAGTCCTGGGTATGGGAACCCCCCCCTCTATGGGCAATGGAACAGTCCTGGGGATGGGAACCCCCCCCTCTATGGGCAATGGAACAGTCCTGGGGAATGGGAACCCCCCTCTATGGGCAATGGAACAGTCCTGGGTATGGGAACCCCCCCCTCTATGGGCAATGGAACAGTCCTGGGGATGGGAACTCCCCCCTCTATGGGCAATGGAACAGTCCTGGGTATGGGAACCCCCCCTCTATGGGAAATGGAACAGTCCTGGGTATGGGAACCCCCCCCCTCTATGGGCAATGGAACAGTCCTGGGGGTGGGAACCCCCCCTCTATGGGCAATGGAACAGTCCTGGGTATGGGAACCCCCCCTCTATGGGCAATGGAACAGTCCTGGGTATGGGAACCCCCCCCTCTATGGGCAATGGAACAGTCCTGGGGATGGGAACCCCCCCTCTATGGGCAATGGATGTGGTTTTGGGGTACCAGGATGGGTTTTGGGGTCCCTGGATGCAGTTTTGGGGTCCCCAGATGTGGTTTTGGGGCCCCTGGTTGGGTTTTGGGGTCCCTGGTTGCGTTTTGGTGTCCCCGGTTGGGTTTTGGGGTCCCTTCATGGGGTTTGGGGTCCCAGATGCATTTTTGGGGTCCCTGGTTGGGTTTTGGGGTCCCTGGTTGGGTTTTGGGGTCCCCCAATGTGGTTTTGGGGTCCCCGTTGTAACCAGGGGGGGTCCCCTGTCCCCCCAGGGCTTTGGCAACGCCTCCTGGCGGTACCTGCAGGGCCGCTGGGTGCGGGCGGCCCCCGACGAGGAGTGGGTCTGGTTCGACGTCACCGAGGCCGTGCAGCAGTGGCTGGGGGGCAATGGTGATGTATGGGGGGCTGGGTGGGGGGGGGTACGGGTAATGGGGTGCCAATGGGGACCTCAGTGGGGACCTCAATGGTCAACCCAATGGGCATGGTAATGGGCATCTCCATGGGGACCTCAATGGGGTCCCAATGGGCAGCTCAATGGGGACCTCAATGGGCACCCAATGGGGACTTCAATGGGCACCTCCATGGGTACCTCAATGGGGTCCCAATGGGCAGCTCAGTGGGGTCCCAATGGGTACCTCAGTGGGGACCTCAATGGGCACCTCAGTGGGCACCCAGTGGGTGCCTCAATGAGCATCTCAATGGGGACCTCAATGGGCACCCAATGGGGACCTCAATGGGGACCTCAATGTGGACCTCAATGGGCACCCAATGGGGACCTCAATGGGCACCCAATGGGGACCTCAATGGGCACCCAGTGGGTACCTCAATGGGCACCCAATGGGGACCTCAATGGGCACCTCCATGGGGACCTCAATGGGTACCTCAGTGGGCACCTCCATGGGTACCTCAGTGGGGTCTCAATGGGCACCTCAATGGGGACCTCAGTGGGCACCCAATGGGTACCCAATGAGCATCTCAGTGGGCACCCAATGAGCATCCCAATGAGCACCCAATGGGTACCCAATGAGCATCCCAATGGGCACCCAATGGCCACCTCAGTGGGCACTTCAATGGGCACCCAGTGGGTATCCCAGTGGGGTCCCAGTGGTGCCTTTAGCGGTCAGCCCAGAGTTGCCCCAATGGCACCCAATGATCATCCCAACGGGCACTCAATGGTCAACCCAATGGGCACCCAATGGGCAACCAATGATCATCCCAATGGTCAACCCAGTGGCACCTCATGGGCACTCAATGGTCAACCCAATGTGCACCCAATGATCATCCCAACGGGCACCTTAATGGGCACCCAATGATCAACCCAATGGGCACCCAATGGTCAACCCAATGCGCACCCAATGATCATCCCAACGGGCACCTTAATGGGCACCCAATGATCAACCCAATGGGCACCCAATGGTCAACCCAATGCACACCCAATGATCATCCCAATGGGCACCCAATGATCATCCCAATGGGCACCCAATGATCAACCCAATGGGCACCCCATGGTCAACCCAATGCACACCCAATGATCATCCCAATGGGCACCCAATGATCATCCCAATGGCACCCAATGGGCACCCCATTTGATCATCTCAATGGCACCCAATGATCATCCCAATGGCACCCAATGGGCACCCCATTTGATCATCTCAATGGCACCCAATGATCATCCCAATGGGCACCTTAATGGGCACCCAATGGGCATCCCAATAGCACCCAGTGGGCACCCAAAGGGACCCAATGGGCACCCAATGCCCCCCCCATCACTGTTGACCCCTCTCTCCCCATAGACCCCATAGGCACGTTCAAACTGAGCGTCCATTGCCCCTGCGACGAGCCGGGCCCGCCCCCCGCCATGCGCTTCACCTTCGAAGGTACCACTGGGGGACGGGGGTGTTTTGGGTTAAATCCGGGTGATTTTGGGTTAAATCCGGGTGATTTTGGGTTAAATCCGGGTGGTTTTGTGTTAAATCCGGGTGATTTTGGGTTAAATCCGGGTGATTTCGGGTTAAATCCGGGAGATTTTGGGTTAAATCCGGGAGATTTTGGGTTAAATCCGGGCGGTTTCGGTTAAATCCGGGTGATTTTGGGTTAAATCCGGGAGATTTTGGGTTAAATCCGGGTGATTTTGGGTTAAATCCGGGAGATTTTGGGTTAAATCCGGGAGATTTTGGGTTAAATCCGGGTGATTTCGGGATAAATCCGGGTGATTTTGGGTTAAATCCGGGTGATTTTGGGTTAAATCCGGGCGGTTTCGGTTAAATCCGGGTGATTTTGGGTTAAATCCGGGTGATTTTGGGTTAAATCCGGGCGGTTTCGGTTAAATCCGGGTGATTTTGGGTTAAATCCGGGTGATTTTGGGTTAAATCCGGGTGATTTTGGGTTAAATCCGGGCGGTTTCGGTTAAATCCGGGTGATTTTGGGTTAAATCCGGGTGATTTTGGGTTAAATCCGGGCGGTTTCGGTTAAATCCGGGTGATTTTGGGTTAAATCCGGGTGATTTTGGGTTAAATCCGGGTGATTTTGGGATAAATCCGGGTGATTTTGGGATAAATCCGGGTGATTTCGGGTTAAATCCGGGTGATTTTGGTTAAATCTGGGTGATTTTGGGTTAAATCCGGGTGATTTTGGGTTAAATCCGGGTGATTTCGGGTTAAATCCGGGTGATTTTGGTTAAATCTGGGTGATTTTGGGTTAAATCCGGGTGATTTTGGGTTAAATCCGGGTGATTTTGGGTTAAATCCGGGTGATTTTGGGATAAATCCGGGAGATTTTGGGTTAAATCCGGGCAATTTTGGGTTAAATCCGGGTGATTTTGGGTTAAATCCGGGTGATTTGGGTTAAATCTGGGTGATTTGGGTTAAATCCGGGTGGTTTTGGGTTAAATCCGGGTGATTTTGGGATAAATCCGGGTGGTTTTCGGATAAATCCGGGCGATTTTGGGTTAAATCTGGGTGATTTGGGTTAAATCCGGGTGATTTTGTGTTAAATCCGGGCGATTTTGGGTTAAATCTGGGCGGTTTCGGTGAAAACCGTGTGATTTTGGGTTAAATCCAGGTGATTTTGGCTGAAATCCGGGTGATTTTGAGTTAAATCCGGGTGATTTTGGTTAAATCCGGGTGATTTTGGGATAAATCCGGGTGATTTTGGTTAAATCCGGGTGATTTTGGGTTAAATCCGGGAGGTTTTGGGTTAAATCCGGGTGATTTTGGGTTAAATCCGGATGATTTTGGGATAAATCCGGATGATTTTGGGATAAATCTGGATGATTTTGGGTTAAATCCGGGTGATTTTGGGTTAAATCTGGGTGATTTTGGGTTAAATCCGGGTGATTTTGGGTTAAATCCGGGTGATTTTGGGATAAATCCGGGCGATTTTGGGTTAAATCCGGGTGATTTTGGTGAAATCCGGATGATTTTGGGTTAAATCCGGGTGATTTTGGGTTAAATCCGGGTGATTTTGGGTTAAATCCGGATGATTTTGGGTTAAATCCGGGTGATTTTGGGTTAAATCCGGGTGATTTTGGGATAAATCCGGGTGATTTTGGGTTAAATCCGGGTGATTTGGGTTAAATCTGGGTGATTTTGGGTTAAATCCGGGTGATTTTGGGTTAAATCCGGGTGATTTTGGGATAAATCCGGGCGATTTTGGGTTAAATCCGGGTGATTTTGGTGAAATCCGGATGATTTTGGGTTAAATCCGGGTGATTTTGGGTTAAATCCGGGTGATTTTGGGTTAAATCCGGATGATTTTGGGTTAAATCCGGGTGATTTTGGGTTAAATCCGGGTGATTTTGGGATAAATCCGGGTGATTTTGGGATAAATCCGGGTGATTTTGGGTTAAATCCGGGTGATTTTGGTTAAATCCGGGTGATTTTGGGATAAATCCGGGTGATTTTGGGTTAAATCCGGATGATTTTGGGTTAAATCCGGGTGATTTTGGGATAAATCCGGATGATTTTGGGTTAAATCGGGTGATTTTGGGATAAATCCGGATGATTTTGGGTGATTTCGCAGGGTTCGAGCAGCAGCGCGGGGACATGCAGGGCATCGCGCGCAAGCACCAGCGCGCCCCTACGTGCTGGCGATGGTACTGCCCGAGGAGCGCGGCAACGACCTGCGCAGCGCCCGGCGCCGCCGCGGCATCGACCCCCCCTTCTGCTTCGGGTCAGTGGGACCGGCCCAAACGGACACAAAATGGACCCAAAATTGACACAAATGGACCCAAAATGGACCCAAAATTGACACAAACGGACCCAAAATGGACCCAAAATTGACACAAAATTGACACAAACGGACCCAAAATTGACCGAAACTGACCCAAAACGGACCCAAATGGACCCAAAATTGACACAAACGGACCCAAAATTGACCGAAACTGACCCAAAACGGACCCAAATGGACCCAAAATTGACACAAACGGACCCAAAATTGACCGAAACTGACCCAAAACGGACCCAAATGGACCCAAAATTGACACAAATGGACCCAAAATTGACACAAACGGACCCAAAATTGACCGAAACTGACCCAAAACGGACCCAAATGGACCCAAAATTGACACAAATGGACCCAAAATTGACACAAACGGACCCAAAATTGACCGAAACTGACCCAAAACGACCCAAATGGACCCAAAATTGACACAAATGGACCCAAAATTGAACTAAACTGAGCCAAACGGACCCAAAAATTGACCGAAACTGACCCAAAACGGACCCAAACGGACCCAAAATTAACCTAAACCGACCCAAACAGACCCAAAATGGACCCAAACAGACCCAAAATTGACCAAAACTGACCCAAAATGGACACAAAATGGACCAAAATGGACCCAAACGGACCCAAAATTGACCAAAACTGTCCCAAATGGACCCAAAACTGTCCCAAACGGACCCAAACTGACCCTACCGAACCCAAAACGGAACCAATCAGCCCAAAAGGACAGAAATTGACCTAAACTGACCCAAATTGACCGAAACTGACCCAAATGGACCAAAATTGACCTAAACTGACCAAAACAGACCCAAGTGGACCCACAATTGACCTAAACTGACCCCAAACGACCCAAAATTGACCTAAACTGAGCCAAACGGACCCAAAACAGACCCAAAAGGACCCAAAACAGACCCAAAATTGACCTAAACTGAGCCAAACGGACCCAAAAGGACCCAAAACGGACCCAAAATTGACCTAAACTGACCCAAAATGGACACAAATGGACCCAAAATTGACCTAAACTGACCCAAAACGGACCAAGCGGACCCACAATTGACCCAAACGGACCCAAAATGGACCCAAAATTGACCTAAACTGAGCCAAACGGACCCAAAACAGACCCAAAAGGACCCAAAACGGACCCAAACGGACCCAAAATTGACCTAAACTGACCCAAAATGGACACAAAATGGACCAAAATGGACACAAACGGACCCAAATTGACCTAAACTGACCCAAAATGGACACAAAATGGACCAAAATGGACACAAACGGACCCAAAATTGACCTAAACTGACCCAAAATGGACCTAAACCCCTACCCCCATTCATTCACCCACCATTCATTCCCCCATTGATTCCCATTCATTCCCCATTGATTCCCATTCACCCCATTCATTCCCCCCCATTCCCCCCATTCATCCCTCCATTGATTCCCATTCACCCCCATTCATTCCCCCATTGATTCCCATTCATTCCCCATTGATTCCCATTTACCCCCATTCATTCACCCCCATTCATTCCCCCATTGATTCCCATTCACCCCCATTCATCCCTCCATTGATTCCCATTCACCCCCATTCATCCCATTGATTCCCATTCACCCCCATTCATTCCCCCATTCATTCCCATTCATCCCCCCATTGATTCCCATTCATTCCCCCCATTGATTCCCATTCCTCCCCATTCATTCCCCAATTCCCCCCATTCATCCCCCCATTGATTCCCATTCATTCCCCCATTGATTCCCATTCATCTCCCCATTGATTCCCATTCATTCCCCCATTGATTCCCATTCATCTCCCCATTGATTCCCATTCATCTCCCCATTGATTCCCATTCATCTCCCCATTGATTCCCATTCATTCCCCCATTGATTCCCATTCATCTCCCCATTGATTCCCATTCATTCCCCCCATTGATTCCCATTCCCCCCCATTCCCCCCATTCATCCCCCATTGATTCCCATTCACCCCCATTGATTCCCATTCATCCCCCCCCATTCCCTGCCCCACTGCAGCCCGGAGGAGCAGAGCTGTTGCCTGCGCCCGCTCTACATCGACTTCCGACGGGACCTGCACTGGCCTGGATCCACGAGCCCCCCGGCTACATGGCCAACTTCTGTGGGGGGGGCTGCCCCTACCTCTGGAGCGCCGACACGCAGTACTCCAAGGTGCGCCCGGACCCATAAGTGTGGGGCTGGGACCCATAAGTGGCGGGTGGGGGCCATGGATGTGGGGCTGGGGGCCATAAGTGGGGGGTGGGAGCTATAGATGTGGGGCTGAGACCCATACGTGTGGGGTGGGAGCCGTAAGTGGGGGTGGGAGCTATAGATGTGGGGCTGAGACCCGTAAGCGGGGGGTGGGAGCTATAGATGTGGGGCTGAGACCCATACATGTGGGGCAGGACCCATAAGTGAGGGGTGGGATCTATAGATGTGGGGCTGAGACCCATACGTGTGGGGTGGGAGCCATAAATATGGGGCTGGGAGCCATAAGTGGGGGGTGGGAGCTATAGATGTGGGGCTGAGACCCGGTAGCGGGGGGTGGGATCTATAGATGTGGGGCTGAGACCCATACATGTGGGCAGGACCCATAAGTGAGGGGTGGGATCTATAGATGTGGGGCTGAGGCCCAGAAGTGTGGGGCTGGGAGCCATGGAGGGGAGGTGGGACCCTAAGTGTGGGGCTGGACCCATAGATGCGAGGTTGGTCCCGTAGTTGTGGATCCAAACCCCTAGATGTGGGGTGGGAGCCATGGATGTGGGGCGGGACCCATAAGGATGGGGTGGGAGGCTTGTGGGGCTGGACTCATAGATATGGGGCTGGACCCATAAGTGTGGGGCACAACCCATAAGGGTGTGGTGGAACCTATAGAGAGGGGCTGGGAGCCCTAAGTGTGGGGCTGGACCCAAAAGTGTGGGGCTGGAGCCATGGATGGGGGGTGGGACCCATAAAGTGTGGGTCCGATCCGACAGATGTGGGTCTGCCCTATAGATGTAGGTCTGGCCCCACAAGTGTGGGTCTGCCCCATTGCTGTGGGTCCTGCCCCATAAGTGTGGGTCTTGCCCCATTGCTCTGGGTCCAGCCCATAGATGTGGCTCCAGCCCCATATGTGTGGGTCCAGCCCCATAGATGTGGCTCCAGCCCCGTATGTGTGGGTCTGGCCCTATAAGTGTGGCTCCAGCCCCATAGATGTGTCTCCAGCCCATTGCTGTGGCTCTGCCACATTGCCGTGGGTCTGGCCCCATATGTGTGGGTCCAGCCCCATAAGTGTGGGTCCCGCCGCAGGTGCTGGCCCTGTACCGCAGCACAACCCGGGGGCTCGGCCGCCCCCTGCTGCGTGCCCCAGAGCCTGGAGCCGCTCCCCATCGTTTATTATGTGGGGCGCAAGGCGCGCGTGGAGCAGCTCTCGGACATGGTGGTGCGGGCCTGCAAGTGCAGCTGAAACGGACCCAAAACCGCCTGAAACGGACCCAAAATGGAGCCGAAACCGCCTGAAATGGACCCAAATGGACCCAAAACCGCCTGAAACGGACCCAAAACGGAGCCGAAAACAGACCCAAAACCGCCTGAAACGGACCCAAAACGGAGCCGAAACCGCCTGAAACGGACCCAAAACGGAGCCAAAACCGCCTGAAACGGACCCAAAACGGAGCCAAAACCACCTGAAACGGACCCAAAACGGAGCCAAAACCGCCTGAAACGGACCCAAAACCGCCTGAAATGGACCCAAAACGGACCCGAAACCACCTGAAATGGACCCAAAACGGAGCCAAACCGCCTGGAAACGGACCCAAAACTGCCTGAAATGGACCCAAAAACGGACCCGAAACCACCTTGAAATGGACCCAAAACGGAGCCAAAACCGCCTGAAACGGAGCCAAAACCGCCTGAAACGGACCCAAAATGGACCCGAAACCACCTGAAATGGACCCAAAACGGAGCCAAAACCGCCTGAAATGGACCCAAAACGGAGCCAAAACCGCCTGAAATGGACCCAAAACGGAGCCAAAACCTCCTGAAACGGACCCAAAATGGAGCCAAAACCGCCTGAAACGGACCCAAAACGGACCCGAAACCACCTGAATGGACCAAAACGGAGCCCAAACGGACCCAAAACGGAGCCCAAACGGACCCAAAACCGAGCTGAAATGGACCCAAAACCGCCTGAAACAGACCCAAAATGGAGGCAAAATGGACCCGAAAAGGCCTTAAATGGACCCAAAACGGAGCCGAAACGGACCCAAAACTGCAGGAAATAGACCCAAAAAGGAGCGGAAATGGACCCAGAACCGCCTGAAATGGACCCAAAACGGAGCCCAAACGGACCCAAAACCGCCTCAAACGGACCCAAAACTGCAGGAAATGGACCCAAAACGGAGCCAAAATAGACCCAAAACGGCGCTCAAACGGACCCAAAACTGCCTGAAATTGCCCCAAACCAGACCAGAAACAGGCAAAAGCTGCCCCAAACCAGGCAAAAACCAGCCCAAAATTGCCCAAAACTGGGCAAAACCAGCCCAAAATTGCCCAAAATTGGGCAAAACCAGCCCAAAATTGCCCCAAATTGGGCAAAACCAGCCCAAAATTGCCCAAAATTGGGCAAAACCAGCCCAAAATTGCCCAAAATTGGGCAAAACCAGCCCAAAGAGACCCCAAAATCAGCCTTTTTCACCCCAAAACCACCGCTTTGCCCCAAACCCAACCCAGAGACCCTTTTGTACCCCCAAACCCCCCTTTTTCACCCCAAAACGCTTTTGTACCCCCAACCCCCCCCCATGCGCACTACCAAAAA